AAATGGGGTAGGCGTACGAGTATCTCATGAAGACAGCGGAGTAGACGAGAAGCGCAGCGGTCATCTTTCCCGAGATACTGCATTACTCATTATTGTCAGCGTTTCCCTTACAGAAGAACGTGCCGAATTCAGAATCCACATACACCTCAGGGTCCTTTCGGGTAATGTCCAACACTGCTGCGATGGGGATTCCAAAGTTGGAAACCGGTCCCCAGAAATCTAAACCACCAACCCATGAGCAATGACTCTACTACTACTGCGGACGAGGGAAAGGGATCGACGACGTACGGGTGGAGCAAAAGTAGCTCGTCGTCGGATTGCTCCGGATTTTGGCGTTGAGGGCGGATATCATTGAAGCCATGGATGCTGCTTGTGGGGGGTTATGAGTTGGATTTGATGAGGTGGTGTTACTGCTAGGATTCGAACCTCAGGCACCGAGTTGTAGGAGGAGGAGGAAGGGGTGGGTTTTGCTGGATAGAGCGGTTGGAGTTGATGGAAGGGAGGAGGTTTCGTGGAGGGGAATTGCTCTTGTGAGCCAGCAAATCTTTGGCTTCTGGCTCGGTCGGTAGCTGTACCGTACTGTGGGACCCAGGTACGAAGATTACATGATAGGAAGACCCTGGTCCGCGATTCTGAACCACATAAACAGAACAATGGCATTCTACTCAACTTACATTGTATACAGCAATAGATCATCGAGCAGATTTCACTGTGAATTGGAATTATCTTTCTTTCCTTTTGCTCTACATCCTCGGAAGTCTGTTTCGTCTTTGAGATTTTTCTATTTTTCTTTTACTCGTATGGTCTCAGAGTGGGGAAAAACGACATGCATACATGGCTTGGCGGCAACACCCAGGCTCCCATGAGTTTTCTGATGCACCCCACTAAGCCCCATCCGCTCTAAGACGACATAACAACTGACAAACAACTGCAAGATGAATTTACAAATGCTCTTTTACATAAGTTACAGGCAACAACCCACGAGGGACCACCCACGCACCCACCCGCTACCGGGATGCATCCAATGTGCTTGTGTATCTAATTTGATTACATTACACATCAACGGGCGGAAATGCAGCGAGCAAGGAGACGAGACGGTGCCGAAACGAATAGAAAACATGACGCCCAGTTAACTCGTTTTTATCCGCCATGTTCCGCCCTATCCAAGGGCTAGTGGCCATAAAGCATCTCTCGTCCTGCCCCTCCATAACTAACCCCTCCTCCCTCCTCTTCTCTTCTTTCTTTCCTTTCCTCATCCCTCATCTCATCAATCACCATTCTGTTATCTGCATTCTTTCGCAACCTTAGACCTCAGATAATAAAACACTTTTATCTTCCTCCATACAATTTTAAATACTCAACTATGGCTGAAGAAACTAAGGCAGTGTAAGTAATATAATTTCGTCATAGACTCTAGATCCCCGCTCCCGCAACATAACCCCTCTTTGTCCGTACCAAGTCCTTCGGGCTTGCGACGGGAGCTCCATTGTTTGCCTCTCTGCTACCTGCGAGGGAGAATTTCAAGTCTCGACTCAAAACTTTAATGTTGATGAAGATCTTTTCGCTGACTTTAGAGCGCGACTGGCCGCTATTGCTGGCGGCTTTGCGCATTCAACACATAGTGGTGGTTAGTACTATCCAATTCTAGTAACAAGTATTCCTCAGGGATTATTTTTTTGCTTTTTCCTTATCCAGTTTTAGGCGGAAAAAATCTCCGAGGAAGCAAGCGGCAGTTTAGGGAAACTGGGATGCTGACGATGGTGGAATAGATTTCGGTCTCATTGGTCTGGCTGTCATGGGTCAGAACTTGATCTTGAACATTGCGGACAACGGTATGTAACGAGTTAATTGGACATTGGTACTGTCGCTAACAGGAAATAGGCTACACTGTCGTTGCCTTCAACAGAACTGTTGCTAAGGTCGACCACTTTTTGGAGAATGAGGCCAAGGGTACGTTCTAGAAATTGCAATTGCCACATTTGTACAGCTTCTAAATAGATTACAGGAAAGAGCATTGTTGGAGCTCACTCCATCCAGGAATTCTGTGAGAAGTTGAAGACCCCCCGTAAGATCATGTTGCTCGTCAAGGCTGGTCCTGCTGTCGACGATTTCATTGCTTCTCTTCTCCCATTCCTGTCCCCCGGTGATATCATTATCGACGGCGGTAACTCCCACTTCCCCGACTCCAACCGCCGCACCAGGTACCTTGCCGAGAAGAATATCCGCTTCGTCGGCGCTGGTGTTTCCGGTGGTGAGGAGGGTGCCAGATATGGACCTTCCATCATGCCCGGTGGTAATGAGGAGGCTTGGCCATACATCAAGGACATCTTCCAGGCCATTGCCGCCAAGTCTGATGGTGAGGCGTGCTGTGAGTGGGTTGGTGATGAGGGTTCTGGTCATTTCGTCAAGATGGTCCACAATGGTATTGAGTACGGTGATATGCAGTTGATCTGCGAGGTAGGCGCAATTCGTTCCGAGACAAGACGAAACATCTCTGACTCCATATAGGCCTACGATATCATGAAGCGCGGTCTTGGAATGACTTGCTCCGAGATGGGTGATGTTTTCGACAAATGGAACACTGGCGTTTTGGACTCTTTCCTCATTGAGATCACCCGCGACATCATGAGGTACAACGACCCCGAAGATGGCACCCCGCTCGTCGAGAAGATCCTCGACAGTGCTGGTCAGAAGGGTACCGGAAAGTGGACCGCGATCAACGCCCTTGACCTCGGTATGCCCGTCACTCTGATCGGAGAGTCTGTCTTTGCCAGATGTCTTTCTTCCATCAAGGCCGAGCGCGTCAGAGCTTCAGAGGTCCTCGAGGGCCCTGAAATCCCGGCCTTCACTGGCGACAGGGAAGCTGCCATTGCAGACCTTGAACAGGTTAGCGGAATTCAATATATAAATCGCACGGGAATTTAGGCTAATTTGAATTTCCAGGCTCTGTACGCTAGCAAGATCATCTCTTACGCCCAGGGATTCATGCTTATCCGTGAGGTATGTTATCGTCGCCCCCTCTATTCTACCCCACTATAAAATACTCATCTCAACGTGATTATTAGGCTGCCAAAGAGTACGGCTGGAAGTTGAACAACCCTGCCATCGCCCTCATGTGGCGTGGTGGATGCATCATCCGCTCTGTCTTCCTTGCGGACATCACCAAGGCCTACCGTGCCAAGCCCGACCTCGAGAACTTGTTGTTCGATGACTTCTTCAAGGCCGCTATCCACAAGGCCCAGCCCGGGTGGAGAAGAGCCATTTCCAAGGGTATCGAATACGGTATCCCAACTCCTTGCTTCTCAACCGCTCTCTCCTTCTACGACGGTTACAGGACCAAGAATCTTCCTGCAAATTTGTTACAGGCCCAGCGTGATTACTTCGGTATGTTTTGTCATGAGTGATATCTTGTTCTATTTTCAATCTCTAACTTTCTTGTAGGTGCCCACACTTTCCGCATCAAGCCAGAGTGCGCTTCGGCCTCTTTGGTAGAAGGAAAGGACATCCACATCAACTGGACCGGAAGGGGAGGAAACGTTTCTGCATCAACATACCTTGCTTAAATTAAAACGTGAACAAATTTGAATGAACTTTTTCTTTCTTTCCTCTCTATCATGACTGAATCCAAATTGCTGGATAAGAGTGGGCCTTTTTCTTTAGCGGCAGTGTAGTTTTAAAACTGGAGAGTCATTTTCTTAAGGACGAAAACGGTGTGTTATATTAAATTAAAATAAATATCCAGCAAAAGATATGACAGTCCTCTCCACTGTGTGCTAAATAGATAGTGATCCGGCTGAGGGGCTTGGCAATTAAAAAACGTCCAGCATGACCTGCGATTAGAAATTGGATAGAAAAGGCCAAGAGATGAGCGAAATAAAGGAAACCCTGTATTCTGAAGAAACGCCGCCTATTCATTGCGCCTAAATTAGCGTTGCTGTATAATTTAGGCGTGTACATATGTAGCTAATTTTGCATGAACTATCACTCGGATATAAAACACTGTCTCTGACTCAATGATAAAAACTCAGACAATCCCTAAAACATCGCAGATATTCTCCCCCCACGCCGTAACTTAGCATCTCGGATAGCGACCCACCAAATATCGGCGCCGGGCTTTTCCGACGGAAACGCCGGAAAAGCGAGACGAGCCACCACCTCCGATGTTTGGTTGCGAAGCTCCGTGGGTTCTTTCTCCGGGTTGGGGACGGGAAAAAGCAACGGAAATATAAAAATTTCGCTGACTGTACCTACTCTACTAATCTGCTCTACCAGATTCAGTTTATCACCAGATAGAAAAATTGCTGGGGTAGTTACTGCTATGTAGTACAATGCTAGCTGGCTTATATAAAGCCCATTGGTCTCCCGCCTTAGATTCACCATGAACCAGCCAAGCAAGCCACGTGCCCAACGGGGTTCTGAAAATATGGTAGCCCGAATCACTTATCATGATGCTACAGTATAAATTACTATTGAAAACGCATGAGTGCATATGAAGTAGTATCATTTACTTATTCTATCACAGAGACGCAGCACTATCGAGATAGAAGAGGTTATGTATGACGAAAAGCTAACTTTATGTTTCAAACAAATTCGGCATTGCGTATTATCCAGAGAACAGCAGCTGCGCAGGTGGTGGCTTTTTTTTTTAACTGCACAGATTTTTTTTCATCGTGGGGTACCTCTATCTCGTTACAGGAGTCCAGACAGGTCTAGATGACGAGTTCAGAATTGATGTCGCAATCTCACATTTAGGTTGATCACCAAGCAAGATATGCACAATTTTTTTTCGCGAAAGGTATTCATGAATTAACTAAGTATAAAATTATTATCTCCTTCGACAAAGAATCTCTAATTAATATATGGGCAACCCGCTGCACCTGATTGAGACTAAGAACGCAAACAAAGAATGTAGTAAAAAAAACGAGAGAAAAAGAGAACTCCAGCTCCCTCAAACATAACGCCGAGGACATGATGATGATTAAGAAGCCATAAAAAACCCTCTACCAAGTCAACTTGAAATTGATATTTCCACCATCGATGTGTATGATATATTCGCCGCCATTGTTGCCCGGTTTCCTTGGTTCCTTATTGGGGCACTTCTCGACGACCTTCTCCAGTGCTGTCGCGATCACATCGCAGCGCCGTCTGACATTTTCAGGCGCACATATCAGGATGCCAACCCCTTCGTCACTCTGTACAAGAGTCGTGCATTCGGTGTCGTTGGGCCGAGTTACGGCGGTTGTCTGCCTGCAGTCTTCAGTGCGCTCTCTGACGATTTGGATGGCGGTATCAATATTGGCTATTAGCTCGTCGCTGAGCATTGTTGTGCAGATTATCTCGACAGGCGAGGGGCCTGGAGCGCAAAGGGCGAATGGAAGCATGACCAGCATGAGGAGGAAGAAAGTAAAGTTGAGCATTTTCGTAATTAATTGATATTCGTGAGAATTCGTGAATTGTGACTTGACTAGCAAGTAATCTGGCCGGCAGGAGGAGGAGGGGGTAGGGGTGAATGTATGCTGCTGTTTTCCTTTGTGGTGAAGAAGTGCAGAAAGACTGCCGATATGCTAGATATATAGCTGTGGTAGAGTGCGGCTTTCAGGTACGTTGAGCTCAGGAACGGCGGACTATTGTGCGTTTCATCTTGCCCTGGTCGTGTCGTTTCAATAGGCCGGCGCTTACTAGCATTTTCTATATTCTATTCAAACCCACACTTGGAAAGCTAGTTCGGCGCTTGATTTGATTGGCTACAACCAGGGGAATCTATTAATATCGCAATTAATTCTAACCCCCAAGACGGGAAGAAAGTTTAAATAGCTGACTAGCCGTCAAGTTGGGTTTTTAGCATAGAAAACATTTGGATTCGGGTTAATTCAAGAACGAACGCAAAGGGGTATCCATGTCCAAGATAGGTACGCAATCCAGATCTAACCGCTGATCGGCCTATGGGTGAATAGTTAAATAGATTGAGTCCATTCATACCGTAGGTGACCGCGAGTGGGCGTCCCTAATTAGAAATCACACGAATTGGCTAGCTAGCCAACTTTCGCATTTTGGCTATTTACGAATGCTGTGAGCAGGTCCTAAGAACCTGCCTTAGCGCGATTGTTTTGAGCGCAGTCCGTTTTCCCAATTAACAGCCAAAGAGAAAAGGTTAGAGACTCAGTGTCGGAGGATTTGATTTCTGATACGGATTAAGACGGCCACGTTATGATCCACAATGTGGTTTCAGTCTCAATCGGCACGTCAATGTCTTTGATTTGAAACCGCAGTTTTTCTTTGACGCTAGTGCCGATGCAACAACCATAAACGCGACCGAATGGTCATTTCCGTTTTCTGGTAATGACTTGAAATCCAGAGTATTGAACTCAGCGTTTCTGACAGGAAATTCGCGTGGCCATGTCTCGCCGAGAGAATCCAGTTGCTCTGGACCGTACACTTTCCTAAACATTAGATTCCAGATACTTTAAGAAATGAGAGCTTTTTGAGGTCCATAAGCTAGCGCGAGATAATTTCCTTTTTTCCTTTTCAGGATTTGACCAAAGCAGTTTTAATTAAGGTCTTGTTGTCCCATAAGCACTAGTTCCGAGGGAGTAGAAGAAAACGATTGACTCTGGTTGCTGTAATAGCTGCTCAGCTTCACTTGAGCAAGAGCAACTTGAGAGAGGCTCGACATTTTAGTAGACTCCAAGATAAGAATGAAGGCCCTAGATAAGGGCTGCAAAGTCCAGCCCGGACAAAATATTTGGCTCGGCCTGGTCTGTCTAGCTGGTAATAAGCAACTCACAGCCAGCCCAAGTAAACTAGCCTGGTCCGCCTATCTCAAATCACGGCCTATTGAGGTCTTTAGCCCTGGAAAGCACGAGCTTTGCAGGTCAAATAGAGAGTAAGCTAGGGCCAACTATAATTCTGACGATATCTGCTAACGGCTGATCGAAGATAATGATGGGCACGAGACAAGACGAAATCATTTTGGACGAAGTCTCGTCTTGTCTCGTCTCGTCCCATAATAGCCTTGAAAGTCTCGAGACCTGAGGAAAGTCTCGAGACGAAACTCGAGACTGAGATAAACTAAACTAAAACCAGATTTGAGGTAAGAACTTGTGCATCAATCTAATTTTCATTATTAATAACATACAAGGGTAAACTGTGGACCACAAGTCCTTGGCGAGGAATGGTGGATTGAATCCAAGGCTAAAGTGTACATCCGATTTCCAGCCAATTAGAATAAGCCTGAGAATAAAGAAGCCTTATACTGGATCATTTAGTATCACTCGGAGTCTCGAGACTTATCTAGAGATTTCAAAAAAAAAGAAAAAAGGTCTCGAGACATCAGCCTCGTCCAAGAGTTGTCTAGGGACATTGAGTCGTGCCTATCATTAATCAAAGATGAGGGCTTTAGTGAGCCCGTCCCGTAGAAAATGACATTCTTGGATTTTAATGGCATAGCTGATCTAAAACAATTTCTTGTCAAATTGTTTTGTTGTATATAAGGAAATCTAGAGACTCAACTTTATTTTCTAGTACTCCCGTGCCAGGTACGCGAGTCGAATCTATCATACTAATATAATTGTTGGTGTTGATTTCGCTAGCAGTAAATTCTCCGAGTTGGGTTATAAAAGGAAATAAGGTGTCCCATTCCTGGGATTTTTGTTCCCGGATTTCATATCAAGGAATGTTTTTCGAAGGGACCGAGAATAAAGTTCTTAGTGTTGAATAGCTGGCTTTTCAACTGATGTCGAACCCATACAGGCAATCTGTCCGAACCTGTCACTGTCATGTCGACACTTGTACGATCCGTGACTATGTAGCTAGCTAGGCTCTTTGTCGAGATTAGAATCAAGTCACTTATCTCGTCCTACTTTTTCAACACTTAGCATACATTTTGGCGTATATACGAGCCTATAATTTGATATTCAAGACTTTAATAATATTTCCGCTACATTCTTTAGTTGGTTTGACGAAACGAGTGATCCATTGTGATGTGCCATTCAGGGACACAATTCCGCCGCTTCCGAACGTTCCCCGATACCGCCTGTCAGCCTGGAACACTCCTGGATAGGAAATCTTCATGATTGGACTAGAGAAAGCACATGTCAGAGAGTACGAATAGCACCCGACTTCTGAAAACCAGCCTTCACCACCCCGCACGGAGGCTAATGGCAATACAGTGATGTCAAGTCTTCTGGTCTCGTACCAGTCACCAATAAATCCATGTTCTCTCGACATCCGAAAGAAGTATCATGTCCGTCCCACTGGGCATATCGATAAACGCCCCGTTATAGTTATTTCCTATACAAAGGAACTGTTGGGGAACTCCGACCCACTCCACAGGCCCCGTTGATCGGAGAGAAGAGAGGCGCCCAATCCCAGCTATAGGACCAAGCTTGACCAGAACCCTATGCACGACCCATCACATCTACACGCCCATATAATTCTCCATAGCCTCAACAGCACATTACGCGTCTTGAGGCTTGTTGAGACCATGAATACTTTGGTTCCGAGTCATGCATGCCTATCTGGTGTCACTGTAGTAAACCAGTGGTAGAGAGATGAGGCTTCGATTGGATCCATGGATCTGCTGTATCAGCGGTGTAGTCCGGCCGGCCACGAGGGCGTCACAAGGTAGACAGCATACCGCATGCACGCCTCGAGCGCCTTGAGGTATGACTCGGATAGTCTGAGCGGCGAGCCTGCATGAAGCTAAACAAACTTTATATCCAGTTCTGCCCGCCTCGTTGTGCTTCGTGAATGACGTCTTTTATTCAGAAGTGGGGTTATGAGGGCGGAGCAAAAGAATACGAGAACCCGATTCACCCTCAACACACTTAACTAAAGTGAACCCCAGCGACACGTGACAAGGCCGACTGCCTAGCCTCGTCCAGCCTTGAGTACCATAGCCACAGTAAAACAGTCAGATTGCATGTTATATCGCCGCTCGGACGGTAATTAAACTTATCGCGCGTGCTGTTACTTGTCTTTTTAGGAATATCAACTTTTGCCTGGCAATGTGCACTAGCAAGTAGCTAAGTATTGTAGCCTAGTTGTATCAGACCCGACCCCAATGATTGGATGAGTACGCTATTGATTGGAGGTGTATACTATTGCATGGGCCGGCCTCGTAGTGCTTACGGAGACGGGATGGTTCGTATATTTCCGGGGCGCTGCGTGATGCCTCATGATTGGCGATCGAGCCTGAGTGATAGTCTATGATCCTGGTCCTATAATGGATCTTCTTAACCCACTCCGCCTGCGCGAGAAATTACGTGCCCACCTACTCCGCCACGGTCAGATGTAACCTTAGCATACCCCTCTATGCTCAATCCCAACCCAGCCCAGCAGCAGCTTGCCCGTGGCCAGCGAAACATCGGCCGAAATCTCGCCTTGGCATTCATTGCATGTCCTAGTGCAACCATAAGTCAAGTTCTGCTCGTAACAGTTACTTTCCCCTACTGACACTGTAAAGTATTGCTCCAAGTATACCTTTTATCTCGGGAAGCAGTTCTATTATAGTTTTACCCATAACCTAAAGTAGGGTTAGGGTTATTGTATTGGTATAGTTCTTTATATCTCCTGTGACCTCTAGATTCTTTTGATAGAGTAAAAATTCAATAAAAATATCTTCTTAGTAGCTTCTACCCCTGTATAGAGCTTGCGGCTTCCAGGTTTTCTTTCTTTTATGTACGTCTTCTGTTTGTGGTTGGCTTTTTGCTTAATTGATCGTCGTGGCGTGGGGGTCTGGTGTTGCAATTTTCATATAGATAGCTAGGCCTATCATGAGACGATATTGTAGCCGTTATATAGGGAGCTAGATATATAGCAAATTATTTCATCGAAGGTTACAAGCTGCAAATAATTGCAATCACTCGAATCCACCGAAGGCACTCCCATAAGCAATAACAAGCGCTCACAATGACAACAGTTCCAAAATCCTTACTATGCCTGATAGCATCATAAAATTCTTCTAAGAAAAAAGAAGTCGTACCATATAACCCCCGCCTAACAAAAAAAGGCCCAAACAAACCCCATAACTCCAATAAACACCCCGCAGTAGTCCCAGCCTACTCACAATCTCCCTTACGCACACTTCGACTGCGGCCAAAACGACACATAGCACTGCATCAGGCGGTCCGAGATCTTATCCATCCTCGTATACCCCTTCTGCCCGCACGCCAGGTCCGCCGTATTCAGGCATCTTCCGCACTTTGTGATGTCCGCCGATGCGTCGGCGACGGTTGGGACGGCGGCGTTGCCGGCGCTGTTATGCGCTTGGAGAAGCTCCATGCAGTGATCGAGCTGTTCACTGGAATGTTAGTATGGGTTTATGGGTTTATGGGTTTATGGGTTTATGGGAGGGAGGGGGATGAGGGAGGGGAGGTACAGAGGTGCCGAAGTTTGCGGTGGCAGGAGCGACGTTGGTGTTGCGAACGGCGGCGGGGGGGATGCCGCCGGGGACGCCATTGGCCGGGATTACGGCTGCGGAGGTGAGGGTGAGGGAGAGGGTTGCGAGGAGGAGGGTTGTGTAGTGCATTTTGGCTGGTGAGTGTTTTTTGTAGGTAAAAAGAGTGTGGAGACTAGACTAGCTAGCTTTTTTGATGTTGGTGCTGAAGAGCTGAAGGGACTGTAAACTGTGAGGGGAAAAGAAACCTGGCCAGCGGGGCGGCGGGGAGGGTCGTATTTATCTAGCTGGCTGACTGGGTGGCTTTGGGGGTGGAGGAGCGGCCCGGTGAGGAGGGTTCGGTAGGTAGATACGAGCCCCGGTGAAGCCGTATCGAAGCAACATACGGTGTTGGGTGAGGAATCACAATAACTAAGCTCTCTACTCTGGCCGGTGCTTGGGTTGGTAAGCACTGAGTTTTATAAAGGTTTTGTCGTAGAGGGGGACGTTGGTTGGTAATATCATGTCTGTCTAATATTTACCGGAGTTCATTACGAGTAGAGAGAGATGCGGTTATTGGAGCTATGGATGCAGTAAGCGGACGTCGCAATAAAGGTCTTACAAAGTCTCGTGGGTGTGTTCTGGAAAATATCTTTTTCGGAACTCAAGTCCCAGGAAGCATTTTAGTTGAATGTTAATTAGTAGATACCCAAATGCGGCGTTGAGTACTAATCGTGCTACCCGCATCCGATCGAAGCGCACCCACAACCACCCGCAACACTACCACAACTACAACGTTAACCACCTACACCACTCCCTTCGCAAACTCCCAAGTAACAGCACCCTAACCCAAACCACCTTCTCCCCCAAATCCCCAAATCCCCAAATCCCCAAATCCCCAAATCCCCAAATCCCCAAATCCCCAAACCCAAAACCCTCCCTTCGCCGGACCCAAGCGGCACAGCAATGCCTTATTTTAGAGTCCCCCACCGCCACACAGCGGCGTCCGCCTGCAGAACATTCTAATTCTCCGCTTTCAGTACCGGACAGCTAGACGTCACCCGTAGATCAGATCATGTGTATCAGCCACTTTTTTCCTTAAGTGCTGCTGCCGTGGTACCGTCTCTACCAAGATTTTGCTACATGGTGGGCAAGCATTCTAATCGGCTGGTGTAACGTCAGAGGTGGGGTATATATAGCGTCGATAAGTGGAGTGATGTACTCATGCGTTTATTAAATGGTCGGAATTCTTAGTAGGGATTTGGTTGCAACGATATCCGACCATTTAATGAACGCCCGAGTATATACTTGTATTAAGGGCCCTGCATAGTAGTGATATGTGGTGCTTGTATGGGAGGTAGGCACGTGCTAGGGAAACGACTGACGTAGAGGTGGTTCCAGCACGCCCGAGCCTGTACTTTCGTCCAGTCTGCTTCTAGCAACGTCCGTTACACGTGGGATAGGAGAATGTAGACTTTCAGAACTGGTGAAGGATTGGGGTGCGTAATTCATTCAATTGACTATGACCCCTTACTTCAAGCTGTATACGGTGTCAATGGTATCCAGAGCATGTTTTCGTAGTAGCTATCATTTCCAAGCTTGGGTGTTCCCAATTATTCACATATCACGTAACTCAATTGAACCATACCATTCTTCAAGCTCTACGCATGGTATTCAGCAATCCCAATGTCAATCTCGTTTTTAAAAAAAGCTATCTATTACCCCCCCACCTCCTCTTACCCCAGGGCATCATCTACACAGTCCTCCTATCCGTCATAACCCTCACAATCGCGCCCTCGCCGGCAATCTCCACAACCTACCACACACCCATCATTAGCCCCCACTCCTCTCTCAATCCCCCCAAGCCCGCCAATCCCACAAAAGAACAACATACCTTCTCATGCCAACTCAACAGCACGCTCATCCCCCCTCCATCCCCTCTACTCGGCGCGACCCCAAACTCCCTCTGCGTGCTGCCCGTCGCCTGCATCGAGATCGCCTGCGGAGCACCGTTGTGGCGGGCCATGCCCTTGTACAGATACCTACACCCCACACACCCACCGTCAGCAACCCACCCCCTCCCCCCCCAGGAGCGGAGCAACCCACTTCATCAGCGTGTCCAGTAGCTCTGTGCCTGCAGGGCCAGAATACAGGCGCGACAGGATCGGTGACATCTCGACCGCCTTAATGCTCGATAAAATCTCGAGCACGGTTGCGAGGTGGAGGTCCTATTTCGTCAGCTATGAGATCGGATGAACTGGGTAGGGGGAGAGAAGAGAGAGGGGGGGGGGGGTAGAGGGGGCAGTGGAGGAGTACTTTCCCGGCGTCGTCAGCGCCGTAGGGGACGTTCTGGAGGGCGGATATGAGGGCACCCTCTTGTTCGCCGCGCTGGAGCTGCTGGCGGCAGGTGTTGGCGAGGCTCTGGATCTCGCTGGAGGGGACGGGGTCGAAGTGGGGGGTGAGGAGGTCGGCGGGGAAGGCGGCGTCGGGGTCGAGGGCGTCAATGTCGATGAGGCGGTAGTTTATTGCTGCCATTGTTGATAGTGTGGAGGAGGGGGGGAGGTGGTGGTGATGGTGGTGATGGTGGTGATGGTGGTGATGGTGGTGATGGTGGTGGTTGTGGTTGTGGTTGTGGCTGTGGTGGGGGTATGTTGTTCGGTGGTTGTGGTTGGGGAGCTTGCATGATTCGGCTATCCAAGGGTGCTGCGTGAACCCGTGCACGTCAATTACAGAGCTTATGTAGGTACGGATAACTGCCGTGGCAGTCCGTTCACGCCCATTTTGATAGAGGTACGCTACTACATGTAGTATACAGTCTCATACTCTACTTACTCTGCTTGACTTACCTGCAGTATATGGTGCTCTACATCTTACTTGGGTGACAGCTATGCAGGTGTATGAGATGACATGTGACGTATGTAGGGATACATGTCGTTTAAATAATATATACATATAAATGTTCAGGCTCGAGGAATTCGGAATGAGCCTAGTGATAAGCCTTAATATTTCATGAGCACCACTAAGTCAACGAATAGAACTCTAAGCTAATCCTAGCTCGGTTCAAGAGAAATTCCGGGTTGTTGAAAGCTCATGTACGTGGTTCTTACTCTGTTATACACGGGGAATCTCGTTATCGTGGGAATTATTGTAAAGAGTCATTCTCACTTGGCTAGAAGGTCAGAAGACCGCCAGAGCTGCCAGACATACCCTTTATAGAGTACCCCCTTCCCCATCTCTTTCTTCACTCACATATCGCACAACGATGCAGCAAACACGAGCAATGTCACCAGAACAGACAGCCAAAGTTAGCTTTTTCGTCATCTCTGACACCCACGCTCTGCAGCCAGATCCCGATACGATATTCCGGAGCCCCTTCCCAACATGTGATGTTCTTGTTCACGCTGGCGACCTCTCTAATGAGGGGACGCTCGTTGAATATGAACAGACGCTCAACTGGATTAAGGCCTTCGAAGCAGAACTGAAGATTGTTATACCTGGTAAGCCCTCTTACCCCCCCCCCCTTTCTCCACTCCTCACCCACTGATCTTATATGCCACATACAGGAAACCACGACGTAACGCTTGATCGGTCGTACGACAATAAAGATGATTGTGTATTGACCGTCGCCGCGCACGAGCTGTGGACCAACTCTGCGGCGAGAGATGCAAATATAATATTCCTAAAGGAGACCACACGCACCTTCACTCTCAGCGGGGGCGCGCAGTTCAAGGTCCATACATCTCCGTATCAGCCCGAATTCCATAACTTGGCCTTCAACTACCCTCACTTCGAGGATCGCTATAACCCGAAACCTACTTCACCTACGGAGACAGCCGTGCCTGGAGTCGCACCGATTCCGGAGGGGATAGATATCCTGATCACACATGGGCCTCCGGAGGAGATCAATGATTTTGCGAAGCTGACCACAAAAGATAACGTTGGGTGTGAGTGGTTACTTAAGGCGCTGAAGAGGGTGAAGCCGAGAGCGCATTTCTTCGGTCATATCCATGAAGGGTTTGGGGCAACCCGGGTGCGGTGGGAAGAAGACGGGGAAATGACGAAAACCATACTAGAGCCACCAAGTATAAACGAGTTAAGGGAGATAGCGTCCCGTAGGGGTGCGTATACTTCGTGGAAGATAGACGTGTCGAGGGATGGAAGCGATCCTCTCGGGAAGAAAGGTGAAGAAACTTTGTGCGTTAATGCGAGCATGTTAGAGGATCCTACTGGGGATCCTGGGAATATTAGATGCGGGGGTGTGCTGATTGATATGGAGCTACCGGTTGTATGAGAATTCCGAAAAAAATGTTCTTTCATTCTTTTATAGGGGATCACCCGGGACCCGGCGTGTAGGAGCACACTTATGTAATTTTCATCCTTGCTCAGTCAATGGTCTTTCGTTTTTTCTATATAAATTGTTCATGTAGTAATTTTTATATTTCTTTCTCTAGAAAAACTGGTGTTAGCATATAAAAATCCGAACACGAGTTGTGAGAGCAGGAATACCTTTAACACTTAAAGCCAGGAAGGAAGTGTGTGGGAAACTCATTATCTTTGAAAGTAGACCTGATAAAATTGAAGTGATTGAAGAAGTAAAGAAGTGGAAGGGTGATTCTCCATGAAGAAGAGAGGTGGTTAGAGGCATATGCATGTAGTTTTGTTTGCGATGACGTAGCATCGCAGAGTACATACAGATTCTGGTAGAATTAATGCAATAATTCTACCGGATACTGTACAACCACGCAGACATTTACTCTCGATTGCAGTTCTTTGTGCCTGTGCCTACAGTTACCCCAAGACTCGCGTCGTGCATGAAAGTGCTGCAACCACGCGGGTCTAGATCATTGGACCAAGAAAATGCATCCCTTCTTCCATTTCCGCCGATGTAGAAACTGGACATTTTCAACTATTCTAAAAGATAAAGATGTGCGAGGGACTAAGTTCAAACGGTTCTGTGGTTGATTAATTTACTGAAAATCTTTCAGTTTATTGAGTAACATCTGGCTAGCTGGCAAGTGTAGGAACTCTAATGTCACTCGTCCTAGGCCTTGCACTCCACAAGGAACCTGGTGCCCGCTATCCTGCCGCAAGCACAAATAGCATTCAGATGAGGGGCATCGGAATGTTTGGGCTACCCAAATCCTTAGAGCTTAATGATCGATGTGATATTTATGTTGAAAACAGGAATACCTAACGGAATATGCGCGCGACTCTATCGACAGAAAAGATATTACAACAGCCCATAGGCCGTAATGCCATACAGAATAATATATCTTACATAGAATGAAACAAACGATCCAAGAATGCACCGCTTTAATTACAATGATATGTAATCCAACCTCGCCCAGACCAAAGCGCCAGCAAAAAACCCTAGAAAATAAAATGAAGCCTCGTAGAAATATAATCAAACGTCGTGTAAGATTTACAGTCCCAACTCATCCTCACTCAGATCAGAATCAATTGTTTTTCTTTTCTTTTTCGCCCGAAGTTTCTTTTTCTTTGAACGACGCTTCTCGGCTGATCTTTCTAGTATTTTTTTCAGGTCTTTCGACTTTGGTTTTACTAGGCTGGTGTTTGGGGATGCTCCAGGATCGTTAATGTTGACCATTGATCTAAGTGCGCCAAGAGAGGTGCGTTTCGGAGGACGGGGGTGAGGTGGTGGGGTTGGTGGCGGAGGTGATGAAGGAAGGGCTGTGACAGAAGGAATATCCTCCTCTAACATATCATCCTCCATTTCCTGGTCCTGATACTCTTCATCTTCCTCGGACTCCTCAAATTCTTCAAACTCTTCGAGTTCTTGTTCTTCTCCAGAAGCTTCAAGTTCTTGTTCTTCTGCGGAAGCCTCTAATTCTTGTTCTCCCTTATATCTTTTGAATTCTTGTTCTTCCTCTTCTTCCTCAGAAGAACTGTATTCCATAAGCTCTGATAATGGTATCTCTCTCTCGCGTTTCCGCTTAGATGGTGGTGTGGGGAGAGGTTGCGGGGATGAGTACGGTGAAGGCGAACCGAATTGAGCGTCACCAAATGATATATCACCAATAACTTCTTCTTCCTCTGACTCATCGTCCGTCTTATCGTCGTCCTCAGTAGGTTCCTGTCTTCTCTCCATTCTTCTCAAAACAGGTGATGAGTAGTCTTCCATCATCACTCCCTCAGAATCTAAATCTTGATCCTCATCCTCCCAGTCGTCCTTGTCAATACCAAGTCTCTTTATAGTGGAAGAAACTACCGAGGAATTCCTGAAGGGGGAAGAATCAACAACAACACTAAAATTGAACTGCCTCTTCAATCCACTTGATTGGGTCCGCGAAGGTGTTCTAGTAAACATAGGAGAAGACGACTTGATAGCAGAGAAATAGGCAAGACTCTTCTTGATTCTGGCGGTACCACGGGGGGAGCGTCGAACTGTACGAGGAGGTGTAACTCGAAGATTGGAGTAATAGTCGGCATCCTCGTCGGAGTCATCCTCCATGAAAGATGACGAGGATGATGGGGTGACGGGTCGATCATCATCCTCTACATCTTCTTCCTCTTCCTCATACTCAGACAAGCCGATAGAGGCTTCATCCGCCTCATCCTCCTCAATAACAGAAGCCTCTTCAACGTCGCTGGAGATAGCTTCATATTCATCTCTCCAATCGTAATCGGCATCTTCCTCCGGCATCTCGACCTCAACACAGTCCATAAACAGCCCCTCTCTCCCCTCCTTCCTGCCGGGAGTGGCGCCGACAGCGACCCACAGGTCCAGCCCTTCTTCATATCGCCATCCCTTTCTTTTCCCCTTTTTCTTTTCGATGCTCTTTTTCTTCCTTTGGTTGGCTCTTGTGCCCTTCTCTAGTTCATCTTTCATTTTCAAAGGCTGTAAGAAACACTTGACCCTCCCGGGTGTCTGAATTTTAAGGCCGATAACCTTGTGCTCAAACCTTCCTAGCCAATCAATCCACGAAGTATTTGATTTGACCTCCTCTGAAACCGAAAATGTAACGGCAATCTGAAGCGCCAATTGCGCAACCAAGTAACGCTTAGTTTCAAATAGCTCTTGATGCGGAGCAAGATCAGGTTTGCCTGGAGTAAATGTTACCATCTTCATTCCTGAGGCGTTCCGTGGAGTTTCAGGGGTCATTTCTGAAAATCCAGATTTCTCTTGTCCATGGGAAGATGACCATGCTTTGCTTACGGCAGCAAGGCTCAAGAGACGGTTAGAGAGTTGTTGGATTGGATCTTCCTTTGCCCGAAAAACGCCATGGTAGAGAGGTATGTAGCACTCTACTATAAATACCGCCAACGATCTTAACGCATGTTTACCGCCGGAACTACAGATATCTTCAAGACATCTAGCGAGCTCGTCCATAACCAAGTTGTCATCTCCGGCACTACTACCAAGACCTTGGAGAAGAATTGCGATTTTAGCTGCAACTGGCCAATTCCCACCCCACACCTCCTCTGTACTGCTTTTGACTCCAGCATCCTGGACTAGAAAACCTCGCACGAGCTGTTTCACTACCCCTACAGCTTCTGACCTAGGGTTAAATAAGGAGAGAGGCACGAGTTCTCTAGTCGCTTTAAGGATTGTATTTTCTGCTTTTGTGGCAACATTATATGGCATTACTGCCGCCGCCTTTTTCGCAGCTTGGTCACTGTTGAATTTAGAAGCACGCGAGGCACCTTTACGTCTTGAAGCCTTTTGACGCCGAGCGGAAAGGGCATTGATGTGCTCTTCCCCAAAGAGGCCAAAGGCTGCCTCGAGAGCCCGTGTTGTAAGAACTTCGAGACCTGGGTTTTCATCAAGATCAAGTTGAAGAAATTTCCTGATGTCGGTACTTCCAAGCCAAGATGGATTCGATTGTGTCGTTGGGAAATTCCGCGCAAGAAATCTGTAGATAATTTCCAGGTCCGAGAACCAGAGTTTCTGAAGGGTAAGAATTGGGGGGTGGTCGGAGGAGGAGATAACTGGGGAAAGGTCAAATAAAGTTTGGAGGAGAGACTGGGCCTCCTGTTCAGCGTCACAGCTTCGACAGAGTCCTATTAGTACACCAGCCATTCCTATACCTCCGTTGTTTCCTTGTCGCCCTTTCATCAAGCCATCTGCAATGGATTCTCTGACAAGCTCAATCGCGTGCCAGCGAACTACATCACGGAGGTATTCGCCACCAGAACCCAACTCTGCAGCGGCATCATACCAGATGTCATCAGCGTCAACCTCGCCAGATGTAGCGAGTATACAATGTGCAATTTTGCGGGCAGCAAGTGTGCGGAGAGGGAGAACTTTAGTTTTGGAGGGCGGAAGTTTAGTTGAGAGGAGTACAGACTCGAGCGCGGTGTAAATGCCAAGGTAGACGACGAATATAGAAGGATGGACATGAGACTTGAGTGAGTGGAGAAGTACAAGTGGGTTATTTGGATCCTGAGGCTTTGCTTGATGCGACCGTTTTGGTTGTGATTGGGATTCAGACTCTGCCGGGTTGCTGGCCGAGTCTCCCCATATTGAAAGATAAGAATCATCAACATGAATTGACGGTACTTCATTAGGAGCTGATGGCGGGTGGTTCCTGTGATTTCTTAATCCATTATTACCACCAGCTCCCACATATGTCCGCTGTGGTCTTGCCCGTGCCCGCCTCGCTCCCATTCCAGCTGTTCCCGCTGCCTTTTCAACTACTTCGACGAACAAAGCATCGGGATCCGTGGGGTCGCGTTTCGGCCTTGGACGAGCTGCATTTTCAGTGGTAACAGAAGGGTTCGATTTCACAATGCTCCTGAGAGCCTGTAGCTTTGAGGAGAGCGGCCGAAGGAGACGGTGGCAACGCGCTGTTGTCCACTGCTTTGTTGGGTTGTGAGAAGTAGTTGTGGTTCCAGTTATGGTTGAAAGACTACTTCTGGATTTTGGCAATGCTTCGGTCATTTCGCGGTTATCGGCAAGGGTTGGTGGACGAAACGAAGCTGTCACATGAAAACCTCCGGAATATCCAGCTCGTTATTATTATCTTTGTTGTATGGATAGCGGATTCGGTGGGGGAGGGGAAATTGCTGATGGAGATTTCACGATGAAAACAAAAAGTGATGGTGGACGCGTTGCGGTGGCTGCGCGTGTGGCTGAAAGTTGCCCTGTTGACACCTTGATAGAGTAGGTACCTAGATACCTCAACCTTGTTAATCCCAGGACAGGGCGATAAGGCGCTGCAACTATTTAGAATATGTAGAGTGCCCACAAGACATGGAACATATGCATTCTCAAGCACTTTCCCCTCAACCGAAGGAGCGATAAGATTGCGGTTGTTGCGATATCGTTGCTAGTAGTGATTCCTTTTTGATGGCCCATAGCTTATATGTAGCGCAATACATATGTAGGCACCTCACGTCGCAAAGACTGGGCTTTAGATAACCGCGGGATTGCGGCTCTACGAGTTTGTCCGATTGGATCAACTCCAGCTCTTGCCCTTTGGATCCTAGGCACGTATCCTTTCGAGGGGCAGGGTCCCGCACGCGACGTTTTGCTTATTTTAGTGGGCCTTTTACTGTGGCGGCGGGGCATCAAATCTTTAGTGTGTGAGAGAGTTTGTACTCGACACCACGATTTAACAGAATCGTCGAGAACGAGGACTGAAAAAAGCGGAAAAAAGAAAAGGATAAGGAACAGAAAAAAAGTAAAATTCGGAACGTGAACATGCAAGGAAGAAAGGGAGAAGGTTTTCTTGAGGGAAAAACAAACTAAAAACGAGTCTTGATGTGGTTCCCCTGGTGAACGACGAATATCACAAGTACATGTAGGAGCCTGAATATCGAAACCTCCCCTATCGTAAACCTTCATACCGAGACTCCGAGAATCTCACCCGCAAGGGCTCTCCTATACATAGCTTCTACATACGCAGAGAGCAATTTCAACCAATGCTTGTTTTCATATTATCAAAAGAACTTCACATGCAGCGCCAGTTGTTCCGGTCATCATACCGGTGGATTATGATAATGATGTTACAATACATGTATTTAACTGGAGAAACTGGGCGGCAATGTGAGCTTTTTGAAAGAGCTGACACCTAATCTTTTTCACCAAGCTCGTGACAATATTGAAGTCTGATATTAAGTAATACCAGATCTCCATGTGCCTTTTATGGCGTCTCTTTTCAAAGCGGCGGCTTCTTCCCGCAGTGGAGAAAATGCTGGAGAAATGTCACCTATGTGAATTCATGGAGATTCTTGGGAATTCCTTGTCCGGCTGCCGCCAGAGGCAAGAAAGGATGAAGGGAACCGAATTTCTCTCCACTTGGATCCCTGCGCAGTGATGCCGCCCTAAAAAAAATTGCTTCCACAAACATCGGGGCGGAACGGGAAAAGCCAGTCTCAGCTATGCCTCTTTAAGGCGAAAACAGGGATCGCTCCAGCCTCTGTGAGCGGCGTTTCACTTTTTTTTCCCCTCGTCCTCAAGCAGTGTGAACAGAATTTGCCAAGACTTCTCTCCACCGACCCCGTTCAAAAACCCATCGTCCTCCGCAACTCTTTCCCTCCCTTCCTCCTCTCTCATCCATCCCCTCTCTCCCATTTCATCAAGACAACAGTAAAGAATCGTTGACCCGATCTTTACCGTCATTCATCTTCTTTAGCCTCACTCTCCCCTCGAACGTTTGTTAAGATGTCGTCGACACAACAGAAGCCTCAGTCCGTAAGTTACCTGAATTTTCTTTTCTTTTTTTCTTTGGCGGAGCCGGACCCGATCTCAGCGGTGCTACCACTACCACGATCGATAAGATGAACGTCAATTGACCCTCCACGATGAAGTGGGGGATTCTGTTATCGTTCTGGGCCTCTTATCGTGACGGTTACTGGGCGGTTGCTGGGCGGTTGCTGGGCTGACGGGGGTGCATCATGGGTTTCATCTGAATTGAAAGAATTTTTTGCTAACTATTATTGTATTAGACCTTCGTGGTTGACTTCTTGAGTATGTTCATCCATCAACCCAGCAATATCAGAAATGATACTGTTTTTTTTCTCGAAATTTCGAGGAAACTCGATTAAGAATTCGATATGCAAGATTTAGATTGCTAACATCATTTCCTTTGGGCAACTACAGTGGGTGGTGTTTCCGCCGCCGTCTCGAAGACTGCTGCTGCCCCTATCGAGCGTATCAAGCTCCTCATCCAGAACCAGGTTAGTACATCCCCTCAACGCAAGAATATTGGAATAATATCTCCTCTCTTCAAATCATTCACTTTATTATTCTAACCTTGTTTTGTTTGTATAGGATGAGATGATCAAGGCTGGCCGTCTTGACCGCAAGTACAACGGCATCGTTGACTGCTTCAAGCGTACCATGGCTGATGAGGGTAATATATATAAAATCCAGTTGAAATTTTCCCATTATCTAACAATTTTATACAGGTACCGTTTCTCTGTGGCGTGGTAACACCGCCAACGTCATCCGTTACTTCCCTACCCAGGCCCTGAACTTTGCTTTCCGTGACAAGTTCAAGGCCATGTTCGGATACAAGAAGGACCGTGATGGTTACGCCAAGTGGATGGCCGGTAACTTGGCCTCTGGTGGTGCCGCTGGTGCCACTTCCCTCCTCTTCGTCTACTCCCTTGACTACGCCCGTACTCGTCTTGCCAACGACGCCAAGTCCGCCAAGAAGGGTGGTGAGCGCCAGTTCAACGGTCTCATTGATGTCTACAAGAAGACCCTTGCCTCTGACGGTATCTCCGGTCTTTACCGTGGTTTCGGTCCTTCCGTTCTCGGAATTGTTGTCTACCGTGGTCTGTACTTCGGTATGTACGACTCGCTCAAGCCTGTCCTTCTTACCGGAAACCTTGAGGGCAACTTCCTTGCCTCTTTCGCTCTCGGATGGGGAGTCACCACTGGTGCTGGTATCGCTTCTTACCCTCTCGACACCGTTCGTCGTCGTATGATGATGGTAAGTTGATAATTCCTCCAAACCGATCTTTTGAACACACTCTTACACATAACAGACTTCCGGTGAGGCCGTCAAGTACAAGTCCTCTTTCGATGCATTCACCCAGATCGTCAAGGCCGAGGGTGTTAAGTCTCTCTTCAAGGGTGCCGGTGCCAACATTCTCCGTGGTGTTGCCGGTGCTGGTGTCTTGTCAATCTACGACCAGGTTCAGCTCCTCATGTTCGGAAAGGCCTACAAGGGTGGTTCCGGTTAAACGGATCGACTTTGATGAAGTAAAAATACCTCTCGGCGGAGAGGTGGGGTTAGCGTAATATGAAGGCGTCAGGGATGGGCGCTTAGTGTTAATAGTTAGAGTCTGATCTCTTTCATACGTCTAATATACAAAAAAGTGTGTTGCGTTTGAGCGAGGTCTTCTTTTTTCTGTTAACAACTGGGTTCTTAAAAAAGACGGACGGGATAAAAAATGGGGTTTCTTCACTACTTTTTTGATTTCCTGTTTTTTTTTTCTGTTTGGTTCTTGGTTAGGGTTTCTTTTTTTGTCGTAAAAATATAGAGACCCGTTGGTGGGTTACAACACATTCTTCATCTCTTGTGAACCATCTCTTGTGAATTGTGCACACTGTCCTTATTTTCAGACCGAGATATCTTCATATCGGATTTGTGGAGTTTCGATATTAATCCCGAGGTTATGGTTTCGCCTAAAACGAGGCACAACATCCATGGATCGATCTTGCTCCCTACATAACGCATTTCGGAAAGGTGTCAACAAGCCGACCCGTTTTGCACTGAGGCGGTGGTGGCTTGGTAATTTCTTTCCTTTTTCCCACAAGCACCGTCGAAAATACCACACGTATCCTTATTGAAAGAGCGCATGTCTCGGAAGCATTAGTTTAATAGGAGCGGTTTGAGGGGTGAGGTCAACGATTTATGTACGTAGAGTACTCCACTTCTCTACTCTACTCTACGTATGTAGCTTGGTGTGTTGTCGAAAATAACTTTACGGGAGTGTAGGTACTAGGGTGTAGCGAAAAGTGATCAGAATCTGATAAGACAAATACACGTATTCACCGCGACGTTCACTTATCAGATTCTGATCACTTACCTCAACACCCGGTACCTACTCTACAGACGTTGCATCATGTGTAGATATCCCTCGGGGAAGGGCGATTTCTATTGGATTGAACGGACTGCGGTGAGTAAGCAGGCGCGAGTGATACGTTGTGATCGAGGGTGTCGTTCGTCTCAGAAGGAGCACCCGCAGGATGACGTACAGAGAGCCCCTCTCCATTTCCCACCAAGTACATACAACCCTCGACTCGTACCGCAGAGCCCCACCATGACACACTAAGTCCATTCAGAACCCCAAGGGTCCCAGACTTCCACCTCTGCCTCTGCCTCTGCCTCATGTTATGCTCACGTTTGTATTGGTTTCAATCACCGAGAAGGAAAGAAAATGGTGTCTGTATACGTAAAGAAGCAAGATTTATTCCGTTCTTTAAGCACCCTCCGAGTACCCCGCCACTAATTGAATCCTCCACTCGACCATTAAGTCTTTCACACTAAAAGAAAAAATGAATTTGAAAACTCCATCATATAAATGTTCTCATCCCTTTTCTGAAACCTTGCAAATATCCTTGATATGCGGTATATGGTTTTCCGTAAATCCTCCACTCTCAGTTAACGAACCCGCTCTAGCGGTTGAGTGTTCAGAAAATGAAAAGGAAAGAAGAAGAAAACTTCATACATACGTATACCGTATGTAAGGCAGGCAAAAGTAGGAAAAGAGTCAGAAAGATGGTAAAGAAAAGAAAAAAGAAATAGCAGCAATAGAGAAGAAGAAAAATATCAGTAGTAAAAGAAAAAGAAATCAGAACTCCCACCACCACCCCGATTTTTCCACTCTCCCATTCCAGGACCCCACTTTAATCACGCTTAGCATGTATTATCTTGCTTCATGCAAGCTTCGCCCCTGATTCCTCCACTAATCATCTCTGATACCCGCCGGCTCGGTGATAAAGTGCAATGAAGGATCATCGTAATCGATGGTTCCCTCTCCAGTCGCCCCAATGGTATGGATCTCATTGCCGAGGCCGATTGAAGCCAGTATCTCGTTTTCTGCTGCACGCTCGGCAGCCAGAAACTCGTCGACTGTGTAGCCACCGATGTACTTGCGTTCCTCCTCGGGGGGGATGATACGATCGTTCTGGGTCATATACGAGGGGGTGTCTTGGGGGGTCGAGGTATTCCAAGACCAAAAATGTCCACAAAAGAAGAGGTTTATGATAAACTCGATGAAGTCCATTGTTATGATTGCTTCTGTTTGAGGGAGATGATTATAGTATGGTCTTTATGAGGAGCAACGAGGAAGATGAGATGGTTTTTAGAGGAGTGATGAGGGTGAACGATGGTATATAATTGGTGGTGACTCGGGATGATTCGAACTGTGAGGGACAAGGTGATGGGAAGGAAGTGAGTGAGAGGTTGTGACAAGTCTAGACCACTTATATACACTGCTAGGTGGCATAGCTACACAAGTATTATTTACATAGAATAGTTGTGCTTTTGGTCATGGTGTATCACTCGCACAAGATATGCGCACTACCACGAGGGCCGCTTAGGCAGATAGGCAGATAGGCGGCAAACCACTTCAGCGTACCCTAGCGGTTGTGTAAAAGTTTAAAAAGATGCCGTACGTCAAGAGGTTTCTGCCTCTCTCGGTACATATTAGCCTCTTCGATGTTCGGACAAAGATCTTGAGGCTACACTCTTTATATGTTCAGATTTTATAGATATTTTCCAGCTATGCTGAAATCTATCTTGAGCTGTTCTATATTTAAAATAAGAAGTAAAAAAATACAGAACGATAGAGTCCTAGATAATATTGATACGTGTAGCAAAAATTAATCTTATAATTCAAAGAGTAATTTTTTTTATAAGGATACTGTTATACATTCCTCCATTTTTTTAGTGGACAACCGGTAAATAGACTGGTTAAAACCATTTTATTTGACGCTTGAACGAATACATGTAGTGTAAGGTTAGGCGATTTGAAGGGGGACTCTGCAAAACCTTATTTTGTGTTCTGCCGCAACCGTTCTTCTTGGACTGTGGGGCGGGGGGTTCAGACTCTGTGAGCTATGAAAGAGTTGATTCGATTCTTCCCTAAAAAGGTACCGAACGTACCATTACAGCAGGTTTTCGCTGACGCAGTAGCAGTTCTTGATACAGGAGATAGAATGGAATCAAAACCCCGACGGTTTCGTCCCAGCATCAGTTGAAAATATACCACGTGGTTTCCCCATACTTTTCATCCCTTTCCCTTTCCCTCTCCCATCCGTTTAGGATTATGCTGTGTCAGTTGGTGGCTGTGCCGTATTGTGTCCCTTTCCCAGCTAGTGGTCCTGGCTGGTTTTGAATGTCATTTTCTGATGCATTTATGGGTACGTGGCCGATATGGGGCCTCTGTTTCTTTCTCTGCGATAGCTGCACCAGAAGATTCCCTGTCTTTGGATCTACACATCTGCAGACAAGCCTCGTTATATACTCGCGCGGCCGAGTTTCGACCTAATCACATGACCTATGAGCAACGCAAAAACCTGTTAAATAGCGTCACGTGAGTAAGTCGAAACTCGGCCGCGCGAGTAGAGTATCGGAAAGCTAATGAGCTGCGTTTGCCGGTGGAAAGCTGCAGATCAACTCCGGCGACAGGTGCTCTCCTCCGGGCTCTCCATCACACTCTGGATGGAATAGGTACTCAGGTAGAGTACAATACCCAAATACTTCGACTCATTACTCACATCTGATAGCTATTCTACAAAACACCACTCCAGACACCTCGCGACGTTCCATGACGTCAATCGCGCTCTCAGCACGTGACCATCAACGCCCAGTCACCATCCAACGCGTCGACCCACCTCACCCCTCCACCCAAGCAAGCAAATCAGCCCAAAGCGGGGAACGCCTGCATAGCCTAACCGCAACCATGGAGAATATCCGTCCTATGCCCGGCTCCGACGAAGCTCTCCGTCGGCGACGACAGCAGCAGCAGCAACAGGCACCCCCCACCAAACGGCCCCTCACCGACACCACCAACTTTCCCGTGAAACGCATGAACAACGGCCAGAAGATGCTGGACGTGGCGCCAGACTGGGGCGGCAATGAGATTACGTCCTCGCCTTCGCTGACGGGAGGTATGGCTGCTGCGTTGACGCAGATGCCGCCACCGATGTCGACGCTGGCGGGATACAGGGACACAGCGAATCCGTTGTCGCTGTCGAATCCGATGTGGGGGTTGAAGAGGGAGGTTGTTCTCGGCTTTGGGGCCTGCGGGATTGCAACCATGTATCCGTGGCAACTGGCGTGTCTGTCGTTGGCGGGATTGCTGGCGGGTGAGAAGAACCTGGTATATACGGCGCCGACATCGGCGGGGAAGTCACTCGTTGCGGACGTATTAATGATCAGGAAGGTGGTGATTGAGCGAAAGAAGGCCATTGTGGTCGTGCCGTACATTGCAATCGTCCAAGAGAAGACAAAATTCCTCAAGAAGGTATTGGAGAAGGTAAAGGTGCAGGCTGAGCCGCGAGGCGACTGGGATAAGACCAGGCACTGGAGGGGATTGAATATTGTTGGTTTCCATTCTGGCACCAGGTCCAGGCTAGGTTGGGAGGAGATTGATGTGGCCGTGTGTACGATCGAGAAGGTCTGTCGTTTTTTACCGCCACTACTATCATTAGAATTTACATTATATAGAAAAAGACCTACCTTACCTATATCTCTCTTTCCATCTGAAATAAAAGCTCCACAAGCTCAGACACTATGTGCATAATACTAGGCCAACGCTCTCGTCAACGCCTCCATCGAATCTCGCACCATCGACACGCTCGGTATCATCGTCTTTGACGAGCTGCACATGCTCTCAGACTCGCACCGCGGCCATATCCTTGAGCTCCTCGCCACTAAGATTCTCTGTCTCAACGACGAGCACATACAGATTGTCGGCATGTCCGCAACGCTGTCCAACACCTCTGTCGTCGCCAAATGGCTGCAAGCCGAGTGCTACGAGTGCACATACCGCCCCATCCCGCTGCAGGAGCATCTGGTCTATGACAACAGCATCTACAATGCGGAGATGGAGCTGACAGCGCATATCCCGCCATCAGAGCTCAAGGAGCTGAAGGACCCGGTGACCAATGCGGTCGTGGCACTGGCGTATGCGTGTGTCAAGGAGGGGAATGGCGTACTGGTGTTTTGTGAGAGTAGGAAGAGGTGTGAGGATTTGGCGCAGCTGCTAATGAAGTTCATGCCGCGCCCCAATGCAGAGACGAGAGGGAGGCGGTCGGAGGTTATTAATGATCTGGAGGCTACCAGCGCTGGGCTGGATTTTGTGCTGAAGAAGATTGTCCCCTCCGGCGTTGCTTTTCACCATGCTGGCGAGTCTTAATATTTCCATCACCATTGCTTTCAAATGCCGAAAGATCGGTTGCAATCTCGTAAGACTATACGCCGTGGTGTTGTGTCGTATCAGATGATAGTCGATCTTTCGGCATTTTCTCATACTAGTTTAAAGCTCAATGATTAATTTTCCGGTTTTACTATCTTAGGCCTCACGAGCGAGGAGAAGGATCTGATCGCGGGAGCATACGACCAGGGGCTTCTTAAAGTGATCTGTTGCACTGCAACTATGGCAGCGGGTGTAAATCTGCCTGCAAGAAGAGTTATCATATCACCGCGTATGGGCCGTGATTTTATAACGCCTGCTATGCTGTGAGTATATGGCTTTTCTGGGGATAATTAAGAGAATTGGGCTGATATATGTGGATTTCCAAAGGCGGCAGATGAAAGGACGAGCTGGGAGAAAGGGGAAGGATACAGTGGGTGAGAACTTTGTGGTCTGTCGGAGGGAGGACCTGGAGGCGGTTAGGGCGATTATAGACGCGGATATGCCGAGTGCTAGCAGTTGTCTTACTGGCGAGAGTGAGGGTCTAAGACGGTATGCCTCTCATATTCTCTTGAAAATAGTATAATACTGACTGATATGCTACAAGCGCTCTCCTCGAAGGCATCGCCACCAAGCTCGCCACCTCCGCCGACTCCCTCGACGACTTCCTCCGCTGCACACTCCTCTTCCACACAACGCCGACCCCAATCACTACTCTTCGCCCCCTCATTACCACAGCCCTTACCTCCCTCACTACCTCCAATCTCATCACCGCACATCCCTCCACCTCCTACTTCTCCGCGACGCCTCCCGGTCTCGCCACCGTTGCCGCCGGCCTCGGCCCTGACGAAGGTCTCTTCCTTCACGAGGAGCTCTCCCGCGCCCTCAAAGCCTTCAACCTCGAGTCCGACCTCCACATCATCTACCACTTCACCCCAATCCACTCCTCATCCACCTCTAGCATCACAATCGACTGGAAGCTCCTCCGCGACGACCTCGACACCCTCTCAGAGTCCAACCTACGCGCCGCCTCCCTCGTCGGCGTTAATCCGGCATTCGTAAACCGTATGGCCCAGGGCGGCACACTGAAGGAGGATACGCCTGCCAACATAGAGAAGGCGAGGGTCTATAGGCGCTTCTATGTCGCGCTCATGCTGCGTCAACTCATCAACGAGCGGCCCGTCCACGTCGTTGCGGAATCGTACGATATTGCGCGCGGGTTCGTGCAGGGGCTCTCCACGACGTGCAAGGGGTTTGCGACGACGAGCGCGACCTTCTGTAAGGTGATGGGGTGGTCGGGGCTCGCGGTGCTGCTCGAGCACTACTCGGGAAGGCTGGACCTAGGCGTGCGCGATGATCTGATGGAGCTGGCGAGGATCCCGTTTGTCAAGAGTTGGACGGCGAGGGTGTTTCATGAGAATGGACTGAAGAGTGTTGCGGCGGTTGCAAACGCAGATGTGGGCGAGTTGGTGAGGGTTTTGGGGCTGGCGAGGTGGGGGAGGGGTGGCAGGGAGGAGGAGGGCGTGAAGAAGAGGTTGGAGGAGAGGGCGGAGGTCATTTTGAAGTGTGCGAAGAGGCTGTGGGATCAGGAGTGTGTCGGTGATGTGGAGGAGTATTATTAGGTAGTTAGTTTTGTAGATTGGCTATTGGAGTAGGGCGGTTTTTTTTATTAGTATTCTGCTTTCTATCTCCTTTCTGCTTTCTTTCTTGGATATTGGAGCAAGCGGCGTGGGGACACGTATGGTTATGATGGTTATGTCTTTTTTGAGTTTGTTTCAAATGCGATACCTTATGACTTTGGTAACTACATATTTTATTGTGATATGTTAAAAGGATGCTGGTTAAGTGGTGATGATTGTAGCCAATAATTTAAGTGCGAAAATACGCTGCGGGTCGGGCTCGGGGCTCGGTCATAAATAGTCACTCGGCACAGGGGCTTGGCACCAGCCGGCTTAGGCTGGGGAGAACCATCAACGACCTTTATATCATGCCGTCCCGATCCACCTCCGGGGGTATTCACAACTCTGGTAATACACGCGCCCTCCATTTACAAAGATTTACTGGCCCAGTATGCGCGATGTTCGGAGGATCTGTATATATTGATGCAGGATATATATCCCTTATATATCTATACTCATATCCCATGGTCATCGCGAGATTATACTTGCATACAAGAACATGTACACAGAGTGCATTACCTTATACTTCGTTAGATTTAGTAGACACGTAGACCCTAAATACAGACAGATCGCAAGGTTTGGGAATACACCCCTACACGGCAGCCCTCATCATATAAACATACGGGGTCCAGTTCCTATTCTGCCCAGGTCTATCGTTTGTCATGTCACGGCTATTTTTACAGATGCCAAGGGATATTTCGCCGACACGCTACGTTGCCTCTTCGCTAAGAAACAATGTGGCCTTTCGTCCAGATGTTACCCTCCTGCGAACACGTTTGTTTAAAAGCCTTTTTTTGCCCGTAATCTTTTTCTTCCCCTTCTTCTCTCCTTAGGGGCAGCGGTAGCGAGTGGCCTTCCACAAAGGGTAGAGTCTCGCCTACCTTTTTCTCCTTAGCCTTTAATTTCTGACTTGTTTTGTTTATTAGACTATATCTCCGAAAATAAATTATAAGTATTTCCTTTCCCTTCTTGCCTTCGTTAATTTCTGACCACATCTTGTATCAGCCATAATTGCGGTCTCACTTTCTGCGATCGTTGTGGTTGGGAGAGCATGGACACTACATATGAAGTGCAGGGCGCCTAGATGTGCTGTTCCCATTGTCAAGTTGTTTGGACTTGGTGAGGGAGTTGTGTGTTTTGGCGCTCTCCACCGCATATGTCGTGTGCATACTCTCTCAGCTACAACGGATTTAGGATGTGAGATCGTGCTCGGTGAGATCGTGATGCTGGGGTTGGTGTGTTTGAATATTTGGTTTTATTTTTTTCCTTTACTTTTTTTTTCTTTCTTCTTCAAGATTTCTTTGCCATGTATGGAACGCTCTTTTTCCCACTGGGTTTTTTAATGAGGTTCCTGTTGTTTGTCATGTCTTTCATTTTTCGTTTCATTTTACTTTTTTATTTTCATTTTCATTTCATTTTATATATTATCGATAATATACTCTACAAGTACATGTATAACAGCAGTATCTACCACTACAATAATAAAAAGTCGATTGCCAATATTATGCATGCAAAACCAATCTTAATTTTCTCCAAATCGTGAATGAATCGCAATCGATTGTGGCGGATTAAACCTTTGTTCATGAACTATATATGCTCCTTATTTCATGAAACCATTTTCCAGCCAAGCTATGTCTTCCTATCGTGAAGCCACTTTATTAATTATGACACTCGGGGTCTGTTTTCTATGTTTGCCCATATATAGACCAGCCACATATCGTATAGCATATTCACTTCCACCCGAGAAGCCCAACACCCCACGTAGCCTTACCCAGTCGAGTGACAACCCATGAACCACACCACACCGTCGTAGCCCCGGCCCCGGCCCTAATATCCCATACCATACCAATATCAAGCATGAACAAAAACCAACAACGGGAGTTTCCTCCTCCTGCCATACTAAGTATGTAGTTGCCCGCCGGGGTTCAAACCTTTGAACCCCGGCCGCTAGCACTTTTCCGGTTAAACAAGCCGCTCTCTCCCGCAAGCGCCCAACGAACGACAGAGATCTAATCTAATCTTGGGCGAGCTGTAAATCCAACCTGCAATCCCCAATATTCCCAAATCTTCAAACCCTTTGAATCTAAATCTAAATCCAAAATAATAACCACCCACAGAAAAAGCAAAGCTTCAACTAGTCAGCTAACCAGTAATCCGTGCTATCTATCTCGTACTCTACCACTCCAACACTCTCGCGTAGGTACTAAATTACCCCCCCCCCCCCAACCCCCCATGCCCACCCCAGCCCACCCCACCGCCGGCGGCGGCGCAAATCTAACCCACTTTCGGCGCACATCCCTAGCTCATGCTCGCGCCAAGATTAATTTCCCCACAGAATGATCACCCCCCCGAGACATTTGAATTTGTGGTGTTGATTGTTTATGTACCCCCTCCCCGCGTCGGGAATGAATGGAGAGTTTGTATAGTTTGGTGGGGGTAGCATGGGGTGGGGTGGTGGTGATGGGCGCCGGCCGGCCCCCTTTTTATGATCGGGGTCCGGTGCGGCTTTTTAATTTGTGGGGTGTTGGAGTGGGTGTGCCAGTGGGTTTAGATGCTACCTCTTATATATATATAAATATGTGCATATATTTATTGGATACATGATGATACGGTAGAATATATGTATTATTGCGGTACTAAACCCTAAAGTTATAATAGGGTCGGAGCCGGTACGTAGTATGTAGGTAGGGTGAAATGCTAGCTGCATGTAGTATGATCATGAGCTGTTAACAACATCGAGATATACGGTACATTTTCAACCCTTCGCCGGTCCACCGGCACCAATTTTTAAGGGATTCATTTAAAACTAGACCAGGGGAAGCTTAATTGTTTTGTAGGAGACCTCGAATTTGTATGGGGCTTGGCAAATTTTCACGACTCTAGATCTGAGCCATGCAGTACCTTTAATAATTGTCGCATAAGAATGAAATTCATAATATAGACTATTTATAAGTATATCTAGATCTAGAGTACCTATTTCTGGAATACCAAGTATTCAGGCGCGATATTGGGTTGTGGGAAAATTTCGGTGATTTAATATGTCATATCATGCACCGTATTTTATGTGAACCTCAATCTCGCATTTCTAGATCTAGAGCACACGTATCTACATACTCTACCTATTCAAGTCGTCATGGCTTTGAGATAGCTCCTATGACGATTAGAGCATCTACTTCCTTAAGCTCAAGGCACCGGCCACCCAGAGGTTAGAGCTAACTACCCCCCATACAACACATGTGAGACATACCTATATGAGACACACTACGAATATAAGACCCTAACTACTCCACAACTGTATTCCAACCCCGAACGCGTCGCTCAGTAGCGATAGATAGTCGCTCAGTAGCGATAGATAGTCGCTCAGTAGCGATAGATAGTCGCTCAGTAGCGATAGATAGTCGCTCAGTAGCGCTAGATATTCGCTCATTGGACTCATAAAGCACATAAATACCATCATACTCCCACGCTCAATTCCAACTCTCAATTCCTCAATATTCCCCAATCCTCAGTACCCAATACCCAATTCCGCAGACTTTCAGAATTCATATCAACCCAACCCTCAAAATGAAGCTCCAAACCGTCCTCGTCCTCCTCGCCTCTGTCGTCTCTGTCCACTCCCAATTCGAAGGTGCGCCGGTGCTTAGTGTAAGTCCCTCGCCCTAATCTTCTCAATTTAGCGTTGCCTTCTAATAATAACCCACCAGCAATGCCTTGAGCTCATCGAGAGTGGAGCTGCTCAATCGGACACGAGCCCATTCAATATGGAAAAATGCAAAAAGTGCTTGTGAGTTTTTTTTTCCCGCCCCGGATTGCCCGCCCCCATCGTCACGTCACGCAACTAGCAGCTAACATATAACGTGGTAAAAAAAAAAAACAGTGATGATGTGGAGAGAACGTGCCTTCCAGACCATGAAGGCGATCCTAATACGTTAGCGCAGCGTGTCGCAGAGTCGGGGCAGGCCCCTTGCGCAGAGAGCGAGTGTGCAAATGTCATTTTCGGCACTGCAGATGCGGCGGCGAAGAGAGATGTGACGAAGAGGTGCAGAGGAAGGTTGTGTCATGACAATTAAATCTAGCATTACCTCTAGAGGCTGGTGATACGGATGCTTTAATGTGTATTGTTATGTATGATGTATCGATTGGGGGGGGGGGGGGGGGTTTACTGTATTTGAAATAATAATTAATAGTGCACTGTCTGCTTCGATTATTCAGAGGGGCTTGTTACCTATGGAATAGTAGTGGCCGCTTAGTCTATGGCAGTGAACAGCTTCTTGATTTCAGTTCTGATTGCCGCACAGCAGTAAGGTGCTCATAGGGGCCCGGTGTGCATGAAAGCTTAACAGCAAAGCAGAGAAGCTGCAGTTCTAGCCACCTGAGCGCATGATCGTCGAAGAGGATAGAAGTAGATGAGCTACAGCTTCCTGTAGCTGGCCAATGCTGATTCAGTGACGAAGAAAGCAAGATCGTTCCCATAAGAAAGCTAGAGAACACGTCTCGTGCGGTCAACATAAGAGTTATTCGACACGATTACTGACAGAAAAGATAAGCATGGCAGTAGCAAGCTAGCTAGCCAGCATCTCCATGCATGACCATTCGTACATGTAGCTACATGTAGTTCCTAGCTAACCAAGCTTTCTTACAACCTAGCCAGAAGTCTTGTTCCTTCCCCACAAGGACGTCCTCTACACCTGCCCAGGATCAACAACAGGCAAATACCATGCCTGTTACGTCTCCATGGCTTGCTTCACGACATACGGCCGATCAGAGTGTACCTTGAGCCGAGTACATATTCGGGGACATCAAAACGGTGATAGCAACGCCAAGTAACAAACACCATCTTCAGGCCGATACACGATCGACGGCACCAGTATCGACATCTAGGAACGGCCTTAAAGCCGGAAGGCCCGGCTCGCTGGCTGGCAGTTAGTTGAGCCTTGCAGTTGAGCCTTGCAGTGGTTAAGCAATCGCCCCACGAGTGTCTCTGCTTACGTTGTGTGTGCAATAGGACTCTGTTTTATTTAAGCTTTTCGTCTGTTTAGGCTCGACGCCGTACCCGGGACTTTACGAAGCTCACCGGACGCGGACGGCATATCGTGCCCGCGGGGGGGGGGGGGGGGGGGTGGGTGGTCAGATGGCATCAGGAAATTCGAATTCAGTTGTAGGAAGCTAGATAGCACAGCAGTATGATTAATCAGTCACGGTTTCCAATCCGTCAGCTACCTATTGGAGGATCCGAGCAAGAGCTTGATATCGATAGGTGACCCGCACTAGTACTCATCTACATACATGTACTCTACACCCACGAGAAGTATTTCTCCCACGGTCACAAGCTTCAGCTTCGTTATTCTCAGCACTGCCGCGCGACAGCGTAACTCTCAGATCTCGGGACCTGCATCCCTCACCGGGTTTCCCCAACATCACTCGGGTTTACGCATCACATCACAGATCCTCATGTCCCCCCACCCCTCCGAACGAGATCTCTCAAGCTGCCACCTAGAGTAGAGTACTCTATCGAGCATCGAAAATAGCTGTCACTCAGTACTCTACTCTCTCCAGCTAGGTACTCTACTCCCCCAATGTGGAGCTGTATGTACCCCATCAAGCGCTTTCATCCCACGTATCACCAGATCGACGATCTCATCGAAAAAAAAAAGAAGGGTCTCGGCCGCGTCACATATATTCCCCGGTGTCCTGCTGCAAAGCAGCCAATCTCAACCCGTTGCGTTTTGGCAGCTTGGGGGGGGGGGGGGGGGGGTGAAACGTTTATGTAAGGCTGACGTGACCCTTCCTTTTCTCCCGCCCGGGTGCACGAGCGGTCGGGTTCATCAGGTCAAGCCGGTTTTTTTTTTTACCACTGTGCTGCACTGAGCAAATTGACACTCGGTGGGTCTGCCCTGCCGGGCGGATATAACTCGGCTGCGGCCCTTTTTTTTTTTTTTTATATATATATATATACCTCTCTACTATAGCTATCTACTCTGGCCGGTATCTTGTAGCTTGAGGTGGAAGTTACCTTTATTTTTGACCTCACCTCACCTCACCTCACCTCTTGCGTTGATATGTAAGGGGTCCTCCTTCCTTGTTTGTGTGTAATTCTCCGCGTGCGGAAACGGAAACGCAAGCGGAAACGATAACCGAGCCCGTGGATTGGGGAATGGGAGGTGTGGTGGCTATTACAAATAGGGTATGGGCTGGGTCCGGAGTTTGGTGGTGGGGTCACTGTAATGTTTTGCTTTACATGCTGTACTTTAGAGTAAGCACTTTAGAATAAGCACTCTAGAGTAGCGGAGGGCCTAAAAAGGTGGTTTTTGATCAGGGAGGAGCAGAGAGATCTGGGGAGCTGCTCCATAAGCATTAGTAGGCAGCTGCGCAGGCTAGATACCTAGTAGGGCGATCAACACAAGGCAAAGGGACAAATCAGGAACCGAGTCGCTTGATGTTAATGGCAATTGCAAGCTCAACTGTAGGTAGGTAGGTACTGTCAAGGCTGAAATTTATACATACATAGCCGTGTTATCTCGGTACACAGAGAGAAACCCACACTGCTATCAACCACCACCACCCTCCACGACATCAACCCCCCCATTCGTTACTACTGGCTGTAGATTAGTGACCCCCCGGGGGGGGGGGGGGCAGAAGAGAGAGAGGGGAGAAAAGAGAGCGTTTAGATAAACCATGTACTCGTCTCGCGCTGCTAGCTAGCTGCACCAACCACACCACCGCGCGGGATCCCTGCAAGTTGGCCCATACTGTTCCCCACATCTAGACCAAGATCCCCCCCCCCCCGGGGGCCTCCCCATAGTGTAGAGTGGGTTGAGTAGTAACCTGCCTGCTAGCTGGACATCCCTACCATACCCCTACCTGCCCTGCCTGCAACCCTGCTGCTCAGTAGAGTACTCTACCTACCTACCTGTCTTTGCTGCGCTGTCACGCTGGTGGTTTTTTTTTTGTCGAAGTACCGCCGCGCTTCCTGTTTTTTTTTTTTTTTTCTTTTTTTTTTGTGTGTGTTTGTGTTTGTTCCCTTTCTACTACATACACCACACCTCCAATTTCCAAACTTCAGACGAGAAGAGAGGAAGAGAGCAGTCGAAGCTTTCTACCAGATCAGATTGGATATCCCATTCCCACCCACCACCACCACCACCACCACCATCTATCTATCTAGCTGCTAGCTGGCCATTGTGGGAGCAGTTGTTACGATGCCGACCTCGACGGGCGTGAGCAGTGTTGACGTGAGCTGGATGCATTTCCCCCACCGAGGTATGTTCTGTCTGTCTGTCTGTCTGTCTGTCTGTTTGTGTGAGTTGTGTCGGATTGGTCGTCGAAACATCCTCTTCCAGCCAACCAGGAAGGCAACCACAACCCCCCTCCAACCCCAACCTCTAACCTCCCCTCCATCCATCCATCCTTCATCCACCCATCCACCCGTCCATCCATCTCCATCCATGCCATGCCATATCTCCACATTGCCATTATCACTATACCCACAAGCCACAGCCCCCAATCCACAATTCCACAATCACAATCACAATCCCCAACACCGTAATCCGTAATCCGTAATCGCTCCGTAACTCCACAACTAACCGCCCCCACGCCATGTCAGAATCCCGCACCCGCTCGCACTCCAACCCCAGCCCCTCCACCGTCTCCCTCACCTCCCCCTCCACCTCCACCTCCCCCTCCACCACCACCATCAACCCCCCGCCCCCGCCCCCGCCCCACCACCACCCCACGCAACCGCACACCACCGCCTCGCCCAGCCTCACACACACCACCGCCGCCGCCGCGCCACACCCACACCCACACCCGCCCACGCCCTCCCGCCGCGGCTCCTGGCTCAGCAGCATCTCCAGCAAGTTCTCCTCCTCCTCCGCCTCCTCCACCACCGCCGACCCCGCCGCCTCGCCACCAGGCCAACAGCCGCCCCCCGTCCCCGGCTTCCTCATCAGCACCCTCCGCAAGCTCTCCACGCCCGGCCGCAGCGCCCGCGCAGGCGTCTTCGCGAGCGAGCGCGTGGTCCTCAACCGCGACCCCACGCGCGAGCGATGCAGGATCACGGAGCTCGACGGCGGCAAGCTGCGCAAGGTCGCCTTCTGCGTCGATGTCGAGGTCGCCCCCATCATCACTGCCTCCGCCGCCGCCGCCGCCGCCGACAACGACAAGGACAAGGACAAGGACAAGGACAAAGCGCGCAGCGAGAAGAAGCGCCGAAAGGCCGAGCGCGCGGAGCGGCCAGAGTCAGAGGCGCCGGAGGAGCGCGCAGCGCGCAAAGAGCGCAAGAAGGAGCGGCGCGCCGCTGCTGCTGCTGCTGCTGCCGCAGCGGCCGCAGCGGGGGAGGGCGGCCCGGGAGGAGAGGCGCCGCTGCTGGACCTGCCGGACCCGCCGAGGCGGGTGGTGCATGTGGCGCCCACCACGGACCCGGCCAGGATCTACAGGCAGGTGTGTCAGCTGCGGGAGACGGCGATGCTGGCGCGCGTGACGGGGCAGCTGGTGGCGCCGATGCTGCAGATCCTGGATCTGAGCGGGCACCAGTTTGTGCTGGCGGACGCGGTGGCGCTGTCGGATTTTTTGGCGCTGGTGCCGGTGAAGAACCTGCTGATGGAGGGCTGCGCGCTGACGGACGAGATGGTGCGCGTGGTGCTGTGCGGGCTGGCTGTGGTGCGGCCGCTGGCGGGCGGCGGCGGCGGCGGCGGGGGGGCCGCGAGGAAGGAGGAGGGGGTGGGCAGGGGCGTGATTGAGCGGTTGAGCTTTAAGGATAATCCGAAGATTGGGAGGGATGGGTGGCGCCATATCAGCCTGTTTATACACATGTCGCGCAGCCTGAAGGCCGTGGACTTGTCGCAGATCACGCTGCCGCGGCCGCCGGCGGTGCATGCGCCGTCGCACCCGGGGCACCCGGGGCACATGCACAGGGCGAGGAAGGAGCGGGCGCTGCCGCCGAACGATACGACGGCGCTGTTTGCGCGCGCGCTGGGCGAGAGGTTGGTCGGGGTGGGGCTGGAGGAGGTGGCGCTGGGCCGCTGCGGGCTCAGCACGGAGCAGCTGGCGTGCGTGATGGGCGGCATTGTGAAGGGCGGCACGAAGAGGCTGGGGCTGGAGGGGAACGAGATTGGCGATGACGGGCTGGCGATGATTGCAAAGTGGATCAAGGGCGGGGCGGAGGGGCCGTCGGTGTGCGAGGCGCTGGACCTGTCGAATAACAGCATACATGTGCGTAGTATCATTCACCCTCACTCTCACTCTCACTCTCACTCACCCTTCCCCTGAGAGTCTCTGGCTAATGAAGGATCAGGACCACGTCGATATGCTCTCCGCCTCCCTCGCCGACACCTCGCCGCTCATCGCGCTGAGCCTGTCGAACTGCGGCCTCTCCGCCCAAAGCCTCGCCCGCCTGCTGCCCGCGCTCACGGCGCTCCCGCGCTTCCGCCTGCTCGACCTCTCCGGCAACCCGGCGCTCTTCAGCGCGCAGCCCGACGCGCTCACGCTGCTGCGCAAGTACCTGCCGCGCCTGCACAGCCTGCGCAAGCTGCAGCTCGGCAACACGGCCATGACGCCCGACCACGCCATCGCGCTCAGCGAGATCCTGCCCGACATCCCCATGCTGGCGCACTTTGACATCACGGCCAACAGCCTGCTGCTGCTGCCCGCCGACGGCGGCGGCGGCAGCATCGAGGAGGGCGCGGCCCTCTTCACGGCCCTCGTCGCGGCCGTGAAGGTCTCGAAGACGATCGTGCGCGTCGACACCGACGACCCCGCCGGCGACGTCGTCAAGGCCCTCGCCCGCCGCGTGCTGGCATACTGCCTGCGCAACATGGAGGCCGGCGCCTGCGACGACTGGACAATCGACATGCCCTCGCCCTCGCCCTCGCCCTCCTCCTCGACGCCGACCACCACCGCCGCCGCTGCCACCACCACCACCGGCGACGCAGACCCCGACCCCGACCCCGACGCAGACGACGACGACGACCCCGACGAGAACTACGTCGTCGGCGGCACGGGCGTCGTCAAGGCGCTCGGCGTCTGTCTCGGCAACACCGCGCTCTCCGGCGAAGGCGCCCACGAGATGGCGCGCACACTGCTCACCCGCGCGCGCAAGATCAAGGCGCGCATCCAGCCCGCGCTGCGCAAGGCCGTGCACGGCGAGCTCGAGGAGGCGCAGCACCGACGCCTCATCTTCCTCGACGAGACGCTCTACAAGGTGATTCTGCGCTTCGAGCAGGAGTACCCCGAGTGCCGGCTGCCTGCGCCGCGGCCGGCAGCAGCGGCGGCGGCGGCGGTGGTGAGCCCGCATGTGGATGCGGCGGATAAGCCGCGAAGGGCGGTGTCGCGGCGGGGCAGCGAGGTGTCGCTGGCGAGTCGGTGTCTGGAGAATGAGGAGGGGCAGATGCATCGGTTGGGGCACTTTATTAAGAAGGAGGTTGTGATGCGGCCGCAGACGCCGGATATCGAGCGGATTAGGAGGGTGGTGGAGGATATGGCGGGGGAGGAGATACGCAGGAAGGTGCAGGAGGGCGGGGGCGTGGAGAAGGTGATGGAGAGGATTGGGGAGGGGGGGGTGGCGGAGTGGGAGGTGGTGGGCAGGGGGGGGAGTAGTAGGGCGGGGAGTAGTAGGGGGAGTAGTAGGGCGGGGAGTAGGGCGGGCAGTAGGCAGGGGAGTAGGCAGGGGAGTAGGGATACTAGTAGGACGAGGTGATTGGCGGGGCGGGGCGGGGCGGGGTGGGGTTTCGTCGGGCTATAAGCACGCCCTTTTTTTTTATTTTGTTTTGTTATATATACCTTCATTTTCCCGTTTCGTAATAATTCCATTTCCTTTTTTTTCTTTCTTTCTGGCAAGAGAAATTGCAAATCAAGGTTTGGGGGGGGGGGGGGGGGGCTGGCGAATTAGGGGTTTGAATTTTCTGGTTGCTGTTTTTCTGTTTCCTTTTTTTGTTCGTTTTTTCTTTCTGTCTTATTTTTTCTGGCTATGGAGTGGGGGTGGCAACTGCACAAGTTCAAATGTTGGTAGTTACCATATTCTCAGCTGCACTGAAACAATACATAGTCGAAATCCCGCCTCGGGGGCTAATCTTTGGGGCTGGGCAAACTTACATCTATCTGAGTTCCACCATGTTTTGGTTCCTTTCTATTGATTGCTAGGCGGAGTCATGGACTATCACTCGGTGCCTACCTTGCTGGTTGCCGTGTTGCCAAGAATGGTATGTAGACTCTAGCTATAGGTCAGGATGCACAAGACGCTGATGTGTGTAGTTGTAGTAAATTCTGTGAAAAGATGTGTAGGAGGGCGAGATAGTCGAAGTGATGCGTGCGTGCGGGCGGGCGGTCGATAGCTCTTGGGTAGTGGTTTGTGTGGTGGTTTACAGCTAGGTCCTGCTAGAAAGATATACCTAGATGTGCCTTGTGTATGCAGCTGGAACCACCTCCTCGCGGGGGAAGAAGAAGATGGGAGGGAGGGAGCGAAAACTGGGCGATATATGCTCTGTATTTGATTTTGCGGTTGTTGATGTACGATCGATACATGTATTTTTTTTGCAATTGGTGTATCATAGTTAGGGAACAATGTACAATGCCGCGAGTAGCTAGGCTGCATGCAGGCCTCCCACTAACTATACGACCCGGCGGGAGGGATATGTGGTTGTAGTCTCTGGCTGTATGGGAGGCATATGGTTCATCTTCTGGACGTGGACGCTTTACTACATGTAGGCAATGGCTGGATAGATCTAGATGCCGCCGGCGCCCCGGGGTCTGCATGGTGGTTAGTCCTCCGGGGCTGCATAGCAAACGAGGCATTGACGCCGTCATCATCTTCAAATGGTTCAGGGCTTAAGAGGATGTCTCGAGGCGTTTTTATCTTTGGGGTTTCGGGGGGGGGGGGGGGGGGGGCTGCGGGCATTTCAGGTAGTTATTCGTTCTTAATATCCATGCAAACACCCTCTTTTTTTTTTTTTACACGTATTCCGGATCCACTTGCTGCTTCGTTTGTTCTGCCTGAACTATATAAATCATGTAGGAGAATGAGTTTTCCTCCTCCGTGTGTACAATTCGTCCATCTTGATCTGACGCCGCGGCCTACCTACCCTATGGCAGGCAAAAGAAAAAATAACCAAGGCTTTTGAAATATCTAGGGCCCGGGTTTGACGCCATCACATCGAATCCTTCCCGAACTTATAATCTTCCCAAGCAAAGAGGGGAGAGCACCATGGTGGCAGAAAGCTTCTCAGCGCAAGTTTGCAAAGGTTTGGGTAGCGGATAGCAAGATGATAGGTCGGGGTACCTACCACTATGAGAGTAACTTCTATGCGTATGCGTATGACTATAATTTCGGGTGCCAACAAGTGGAGCCAGGCATGTGTGGCTATCTTGAGTCCCTTGGTACCTACAAATCCAACTTGCGACTCTCTATAAACAGAGATGGAGGCGTACATCTAGATATCTCGAGCTCTGCCTTGCGGGCGGCTGGCTCTTTCTTTCTATTTGATGTGTTCAATCGATATGCAAGAACCACAGACCCTCGACTTGAAATCCACCAATGAAATATTCCCGATACACAAAGGGGGGGAGAAACAGCATATCTTTGATTGATACAAGTATTTCTCGAATATGTCATGGAGTTGGTTCAAAAGCTATCCAGAGCTTTGGTATCACCTCCGGAGAATTCACGGGGAATGCCATACTCCACAAATATATGAATTGTATCGTGGATAACACTGCCGCCAAGTTAAGAAATAATTTGACTGACCCCCCAACCTTTCTGGGCATCTTCTGGCCTAACACCCTGGTGTTAGTTAAAGCTGCGTTCTCCATTAGACTCAACACTAGAACAAAAGGCGTTAGAAAGGCCAGGGCGATGAGTGATTGATCATGATCCATATCTCCTTTATCTCTACCAGAAAAATGAACATGAAATGAAAAGGAAGGAAAGTTTCTATTTACAACATAGACAGGAGAGTTGATAGTTTGGTTCCTCTTGGCTGCTTTCTTCTTACCACCTTTCTTCCACTTTCTCCGCCTCCCCCCCCCCCCCCCCGGGGGGTTTATTGCAGTTTTTTCCTTTGACCAAAAACAAAAACAATACGTAAAATTTCAAGGTGAGTTTTCATCATAGAGAGCGGCCAAGTTGAAGAGGAGGGGGTGAAAGTTGTAGAAGCCCAATTTATCGATCGGTAGATGTGAATAATGCTAAGAAGAAAAATACAAGTAGGTTTTACAATTTTTTTTTTGTAGGTTGGCGTTTATTTCCAAATTTCTTTCTGTTATGTGAGTTTCTCGCTCGCCTTTTCTATAGGGAAGGTGATGGTTTATTCGACACCAGTCGGGTTATCGTGTCCTGAGCCTACGGAGGATCCGCCGAATGCAATCGAGCCGTCAAGGGCGATCATTTCTGCGAGAATGTCGAGGACGTGCTATGAGGAAGCGCTGATTAGTCAGGTGCCCTACCGAATCATCGGTGGTGAATATATATACCTTGGGTACTGTCTTGTCGTAGATGCTGATAAGGTCCTTTGGTTGAGGGTAGACCTTCAGGGCCTTGTAGAAGGACAGAGCTGCCTCAAGAGCCTTTTCAGGTCCTAATGTTGGTAGATATATTAGTCCTGTAAGAGTAACGAATTTCCGCCAATCATGTAATTCATCCGGTCATTCCAACGCCCCCACCCAAACATCCTTCAAAAACAAGCCCCCAAAACAGATTAATCCTGAAGGAAAAAAGAAAACGAACCTTCTTGGCACAAAGCCTCTCCCTGGGCAACCTCGGTCATGAAAAAGGCCTCCTTCTCCTCAACATCTGTCGGGAAACCATCCAACTGCGCATTCCTGACTGAAGCAATGAGTGTCTGTCGCTGCTCAGCATGTGCGGCTTCGGCCTGGAGCTTCTGGGTCTTAGCATGGCGCTTCTTGTCGCGCTTCAGGGCCTTCCGGAATTCGGGGTCGTTGCGACGTTTGTAGTCAAAGTAGAATGCGTCTGGCCTGGGTTAGTTACAGCCAACCAGCAGTGCGAAACTACTGCGGGGGTGCAATAAAGCAGAATAAAACGACCCAATCAATCAATCGTAGATGAGAGGTTCTATCTATCGCAGGAGAAAACAGTAAGGGAACTTACAAGCTGTAATTGATGGCACAGATACATATCAGCAAAATCGGAGAAAAACGGGATAAAGAACGAAATGTTTCGCTCTAGCCATAGATAGGTGGAACGGGTGCAACTCACCACCTCCAAGCGCAAACAGCGTCGCCACGCCTGTCACTACCATCGTCGATGTCTGCATCTTTTCTATTATTATTTTCTTGAACTTATAAGTTCAGTCGTTTGGTGGTGATAGTAGTAGTAGGTTTGGTGGGGCCGGTAATGGAGGGGGTTGTGAGCGGTGCTGGTGGGTTGGCGTTGCAAGGTGCGTCACCATAATCAGGAAATCTCAAGCGCTGCTGCACAAGGAAAAAAAAAAAAAAATCGGCCAAACTCGGTTTTCTGTGGCTTATGTCATCATTTCTATCACGTGATGCACAACAACAGCAAAATAACCAAATTCCACGCCTTGGAATAGTCATGGAATAGTGGTCTAAGAGGGCTTGGATTCGGAAAAGTGATTATATGTTTCAAACGCCTTAAAATACATGCTAGAGAACCATCGAGTGACAATTGATGATGTTGGTTATCAGTATCCTGAATTCCCGACTCTACCTTCAGCTTCAAATACTCGCGTAGCCAGATTGGATTTCTATCCTATAACAACCTATAAATCGGGATTTCTTCGTTCATATGGGTATATGTGCTCAGAAACTACTTGCTTCGTAACTACCATCTAATTTCAGCCATATCTAATCATAGCCAGGAGTCTAATACGTAGAGTATGTCCCTCCATAAACTTCGAGATAACCCCCTGGCTGGTTTTATATCATGGGACTTAACTACTCTATGTTGAAGGAGAGAGTCTCTAGAAATATAGGAATCGTTAACTTATCAAATCACAAACACCCATAACAATCATGCGGTGTGAAGGAAATACATACATGCAATTCCAAACCCAATTATTGATCTAAGCTTTATTGTGTTTAGAGGCTATGGGTAAACCTCTCGGCACTGCAAGGATCCAACGGCTGGCTTCGGCTCAACGGTCGGTCTAGGGGCAAACAATTGCTTCATAAAAGATCGCTCGATCGCTCCAACATCTTCTATCATATGCAACTGTTTTTGTATGTAGCTTCTACCCGAAGAGTAGCTAAGAAGGAAAGAAAACAACTTTTATCTTTCAGAGATAATCGAACACAGCTAAAGGCCAGAAAAGAAAAGAAAAATACATCGGTATCATGACATGTCTCGTAGTACAAGTTACGCCTCGCCATGACAGAAAAAAGGAAAATATGGCGCTCCCAAAGTCAAAATGAATAGAGGGGAGAATTAAGTGGCTGAAAAGGAAAAGAAGAGAATAAAGTTGGGATTTAAGATTATGTGTCTAGACTGGAGCATGGTGGAAAAGGAAGGATACACTTTCGCCGTTGTGGGTTCTCCTGCAAGCTTCCGCGAGCTAGATAGTTCATTAGCGAATTGTTATCTGTAATGGAGGTCAAAGGCAACAAACAGTAGGTGCGATGTCGATGGTGTCCAACTTAGGGCACGACTTCTTCTTCTCTGCATGTGGTACAGTATTCGTAACCACCACCTTGCTCAGCCTACTGGCGTTGATCTTTGCACATGCACTTCCCGACAGAATTCCGTGCGTGACGATTGCAACAACCTCCTTTGCGCCGTTTGCAACCAGTACGTCCGCCGCTTTGACGAGAGTTCCACAGGTATCAGCCATATCGTCGACTAGAATAGCAATTTTCTTGTCAACATCACCAACTAGTGTCATTCGGCTGACCTCGTTCGGCCTGGAACGCTCCTTGTGGATGAGCGCAAAATTCAGGTCGAGACGGTCAGCAAGCGCTGTCGCACGTTTGGCACCACCGGCATCGGGGGAGACGATGACGGCATTCTTGTAGTCGAAGTTTTCACGGATGTAACGGAGGGTCGCAGGTTCCGCGTAGAGGCTGAGGAGGTTGATTAGTATTTGTGCTTTAGAACACAGTGGAATGTAGAACCAGGAAGTTATGGAAATTTGAAAACGTAATTTCACGCTTGTTATTTAACAAATCGTGACGAAGAGGGTGCATGTGAAGTGACAACAAAGGAATATCACCCCTTCCATCACCTTTGAAAACAAGGGGGGGAACCACTCACTTGTCAACCGGAACATCAAAAAACCCTTGGATTTGACTTGCGTGCAAGTCCATTGTAATGACATGATCACAACCTGCCCTCTGTAGCATATTCGCCACAAGCTTCGCACTAATCGGCGCTCTTGACTTATCCTTCTTATCCTGTCTTGCATAGGGGAAATTGGGCATAACGGCTGTAATGCGACGGGCCGATGCGGTTTTACAAGCTTTAATTATGATGAGAAGCTCCATTAAACCGTCATTGAGTTCTTCACCGGGCTTTGTGGTCTGAATGATGAAGACATCTTCGTCGCGGACTGATTCGCGCATGACGACGGAGGTCTCCTGGTTCGAGTATTTGAAGACCGACATGTCAAGAAGATCAACCCCGAGTCTACAATGAGTCAGTGGGGCTACGGACGGAGGGAAGAAGGGTAAGAGGACCTATCGGCGACCATCTTCGCGAGTTCGGGATGAGAGTTTCCCGTGAGAAGTTTTATGGAGTTTGAAGTCATCCTTACGGTGGAATATGTGTATGGAGGATCAGTGCGATGAGGATTAGCACAGAGCTTCAAAGGCAGTAGTTTGTGGTGGGGTGTAGGTGTGGGGAGCGGAAGATTGTTGATCAAAAAAGTGATGATCGCGCGAGGGAAGAAAACTTATGTAGTTAGTGGGGTCAGCCTTATCGATACGAGTGGCTTGGCAATGAGCTGGTGGAAATGGGCGATTTCCGAAATTGGGGTATTTTTGCGCTCACAATATAAAGAGTAGCGGAACGAAGTGAGTCCAAGTGAATACAATTTTAAGTATATTCTGTGTTTTATAGCTCGTTTCACATGTCCTGTGCTGTGTTATGGAGAAACTACCTATCAGACAGAGGCTCTAGGAAGGTATGCTGTAGCTACTAATACATGTAGGTACATGCACTCTGACCATCTGTACAAACAACAGCCATGTATCCTCGATCACTGATACAGAGAATAAGCTTATGAAAATGCAATTGAGTAGCATAAAGGAATCCTGGTGTCAACTTACCGTTAGGATGAACCAAACAAACCCTTGGCACATAACCCTTATTTAGACCTATCGACCGGGTAACGCGCCGAACTGGGCCAGGGACCACAAAGTTAACGTCGCCTCAACTTAAAGACACCATATCACAATTACCCCGTTTGTTCCATCAACTGTACCTGCAGCACCTCCAATCTCCTTCTGAAGCTCGGAATTTTCATTTACCTTCAATATGGTACCTCATCTTAACACCAAACTGACATTTCCGATCACTGACTTGAATACCGTCTCTAGACACAGCTATCTAATCTTCACGATGACATGATCGTGAGTTGCTTAACCATCCCTAGCCGTCGAGAAGCTGTACTGACACTCGCGCTCTAGCACGACTGTGCTCTGGACTACTACGGCAAGCGTTTAGCTGTATGTCGAGTCCTCGACAATGACACCCCCCTCCATCGGGATACCTACTAACACCTCCTTAGACTTGCTCCTCCGACAAAACTATCAAGATATTCGAGATCACCGGCGATAATCACCGTCTGCTTGAGACTCTCCGCGGGTAATTGCCCCACTATCTCTAATATCGCTTCTCTAAGCTTACTAATACGCGTCCTCAAAGTCACGAAGGTCCCGTCTGGCAAGTCTCCTGGGCTCATCCCAAATTCGGCAACATTCTCGCTTCCGCATCTTACGATGGCAAAGTCATAATTTGGCAAGAGCGTCAAGGAGTTTGGCAGAAGATTTTTGAGCACGCCAACCACCACGCCTCCGGTAATTTCCCGAGCACTATCCCCTCCCCCACCCGCCCTTGCCCTAGCTAATACCGAACAGTAAATTCTGTCCAGTGGGCCCCCCACGAAGCTGGTGCTGTCCTCGCATGCGCCTCATCTGACGGAAAGGTCTCTGTCCTCGAATTCAAAGACGATGCGTCATGGGATACCAAGCTCTTTAGCGCACATGTGATCGGCTGCAACGCTGTCTCTTGGGCACCAACCACGCTACCGGGCAGTGTAGTACAATCCAACCCTACTCCTACCGCCCAGCGTAGATTCGTCACTGGTGGGAGTGATAACCTTGTCAAGATCTGGAGTTACAGGTGAGTCCATCACTCGAAACATTTAAATTACCCCAGACTGACATAGAAAAGTCCCGATGTTGGAAACTATATCGAAGAGTGTACTCTTGAGGGCCACACAGACTGGGTCCGCGACGTAGCATGGGCTCCATCGATCTTGCAAAAGTCCTATATCGCTACCGCATCCCAAGACAAAACAGTCATCATCTGGACATCCGAAAACGGAAACACATGGACAAAGAAGGTTATTCCTTTTGAGACTGTGTTGTGGCGCGTCTCTTGGAGTTTGAGCGGAAACGTTCTAGCCGTCAGTGGTGGTGACAACAAGGTCACACTCTGGAAAGAAACCCTCAAGGGCGAGTGGGAAAAGGTTGAAAGTGTAGAGGAGTAAAACGTCAGCGGGCTATTAGATATATTGTGTGGGCGTTAATAATGCTTTTATTTATATATTTCTTTTTTTTCTCTCTTTCTCTCGGGGTAGTGGTTCTCGGCAGTTGTGGGTAAGGAAAAAGTAGTAAGAAGTTCTCGGGTTATTCCTTGCAAAATATGGCTCAATGTCAAGTTCGAGTGAGATGTTGTGATACTGTAATTATGATTGTCGTTTTCTTCATGTAATATCACTCGGTCGGACTTCAAACTGTCCGGAGTATTTTGTCGTCCCAATTAACCCCAATGATTCTTCTTTAGACTCGCGGACCTGGAGGCACTGGTGAAGCTACAAGGAGCATCTAGATAAGGAACAACATCTCATTAAGTGACCACGCGTTAGACTTATTGGTAACAAATATATACTCCTAGATGCGCATGCAGCACGATCGAGGACCAACGGAAGTCATCCCGTGGATATTCTGAAGATGTTCAAACCTGGGGCCTTGAAGATAAATTACAGATCTTGCGTAGAAACGGCTCACCACAAATCTGTAGACCCCCTGGGGGTGTCTACAGACCACATTTGAACGCCTACAAACCTTCAAAAATATC